GCCTGGCACAGTGGCTAAAACAGATCCACACCTAGCTGTTTCAACTAAACATTTTAGAATACAAGAGATAAAGGAAAGATTCTAAAAACTTCCAGGGAGAAAGAAACCAGGAATTCTAAGGGCTTCAGAAATTTCTACAGTAAACATTTGGAATTAAAGAGGATAGACAATGTTTTCTAAATTCTGAAGTAAATGATTTCCAATCCAGAATTCTCACTAGCCTAACTACAAATTACTTGCAAGGGTAGATAAAGACTTTCAGACATTTAGATCTCAAAAGACCTCGTCTATATCTTTTCTCTGAAAGCTAAGGGAGAAGAAACTCCAAGCGAAAAGGAGAGCATTAACCAGGAGAGGACACAGGGCATGGGAGACGGCGTCGGATGCAGGAGGCTGCACATGGCAGGGCTAAAGGAATTCCTGGAACAAGGTGAATGGATATCCCAGGATGACAACAGGCACCAAGCAGGTCAGAAAGAATGCGAGAGATTTCCTCCCAAAGATGAAGTGATGAAATTCTGACAGTTCTGAACACACTGAGAGTATATTTAACTGCTGGCAAAGAGTGTGGAGTTTGTAAGTGATAATAGGAAAGCCAGCACATTTTAAAATAATAAAATAATTACCTCTAGGGCAAACAAAAGCTGTGCAAGAAAGTAAGAGTTAAACACTGTCTGTAACATGGTTCAATTGTGTGTAACACTGTCAAAGTTAACACCATTCATGCTGCCTATTCTCTAATAGGCATTATGGTATATCAATATTAGGAGAATGAGAAGGGAACTCAATTTGGCAGGGTAGGTGGGTGGGGCATGAAAAAAAAAAGCTAAAGTCCCGTTTTCCATTGTAGGAATTCAACAGATAATATCTGAATAATCAAGACAAAGGAATATAAGCATGTTATTTAGAGACACAAAACAGAAGTTATAAAAAAGTGGCTAAATGTGGTATAAGTGGTCACCTCTGAGAAAATAAGAAATAAAGGCAGAAATCTCCTACTTTTAGTAAAAACTAATAGATAGAACTGTTTGGTTCTCTAAAATGTGTACATGGCAAAACTAAAATCAAAGTCCAAAACTAAAAACAAACAAAAAGGAAACAAACAGGACTAACCTATGGTAAAGTCACATACTTTCCAACATATACTGCAGGAAAGAAAGGCTGGAGTACAGGGCCGACTTTTGATCAGTTTCCATACAGTACTTACTGCAGACTGAACAGCAGTCTGAGCATCTCTGCACAGAACAGGTGGACATGGCTGGAAGTGTGAGAAGCCTGGAGGCAGCAAGGCTAAGAATAAACTCAAGCAGTAGAAAACTAGCTCCCAGATGATGCGAATACGCAAAAAGACAAAAATCATTCAAGAAGATACAGAGCAAGAAATAATGTCTTTTCATCAACCAAAATTCATTTAAATGTCACACTCTTTCTGGATTAATCCCTTCTGTACATAAAGTAATATAGGGTATTCTAGGTTAAGGTTTTTTGCTTTCTTTTCAAAAGGTACTTAATGTAAAAAATAGGCTTTTTAAATACAGCAAACACTCATCAACAGATCTTAAATATATAAGCCTTCCTTTCAACAGATTTACCCTTGAATTTTACCATTGACTAAATGTGAGCACAAAATACATCTAAAATAAGATGCAAGAGTTCCTTGTTTGCATTACTACTCTTAGGTATCAGATGAAATATAAGGAGCAAAATTAATTCAATATATCAGTTGATTAATATATAAATTATAGATAAAATCTACTACATATAGAGAAGTTTTATCAATCTTGTTATCTATACGTATTTGCAAATAAAACATATTGAGCACAGTAGGCCCCCTTATCCTTGGGGGATCCATTCCAACACCCCCAGTGAATACTAAAACCATGAATAGTACCCAACTCTATATATTTTATGTTTTTTTCCTATACATATGTAACTACGCTAAAGTTTAACTTATAAATTAGGCACGGTAGGAGATTGACAATAACAAATAACATACAACAGTATAATAAAAATTATGGGACTGTAGCCTCTCTCTCTCTGTCTCTCTCTCTTTCTCTCTCTCTCAAAGTATCTGACTATAATGCCCTCACCCTTCTTTGTCTTGTCATTTGTCAGTCTGATAACCAAGATGACTATACTAAGTGATGAATGGGCACGTATCATATGCAGTGTGGGTAAGGTAGACATAGGATGATTCACGTCCCAGGTTGAGGAGGGGGGAGACAGAGCAAGATTTCACATTGCCACTCAGAATGGCATGCAATTTAAAACTTAAGAACTGTGTATTTCTGGAATTTTCCATTTACTCTTTCGGACTACAGTTGACCATGGGTAACTGAAATCATAAAAGGCAAAACCACAGATAAGGGGAGACTACTATATCTCCATAAACTACGGAAGGTAAAATATCCAGTAAGTCAAATGTGTTCAATATTTTATGGACAAAAGACAGCTAAATATTTCTTAGAAAAAATTCAAAGTCTGAAAGATCCTCAAAACGGGCTTACAAAAAAAGTTATACATGACTTAAGATGTAAGTATGCATGGTTTCAACATGTATCCCCTATAGGATAGTGCATAAAGAACCATTTAAAAGATAACTCTGCCCAGACACTTTAATTGAAGTTCTAATACAATAATTTGTTAGGAGGATGGAAATCTTAGAGGCAGATAAAACTTAATAATAATGTAATAAAATCCTATCATTTTGTACTTGAAGAACTAAATCACAAGAAGTTAAGTAATACGCCTAAGGTCCCAATCAAATATTTTTTGAGTATGACTATACAGAAAATTTAAATAAACCTTTGAAGAACATCAATTTTAGGATATGATTTCTTCTGATAACTTAGACTGTAGTTTATTTTGCTTCATATAGCACTTGGCCCAACCCACAGCCTCCATGGATACATAGTAGGCTACATTTCTTACTTATCAAAATGTGTTGCTGTTGAATGTATTATAATAATATTTTAACTCACACATCTTGTTTCTACAGGGCAAAGACAGTCCTTGTAGTTTAATAGACCCATTAACTGTCTCAACTTACATTAGATACATATTTTGTAGTAAGTGTCCCAGAAATATAATTCCTCTCTTCACTTTGTCTTAAACTTGCCTGTGTACTTCTAACAGGTGTCATGTATCCAAATTCTACTGCTTACACGAACACAAAGCGTATGATTTATTAGGAAACACGGTTTAAACAATTGGTTTATGAATCCATACCCTCACAAAAAACACATTTTGTAATTTAGAAGAAATAAAGAGGAATATTAGCTAGTCATTAGGAAAATCATTGAGATATTCTGACTGTAGGCTATCTCATTTTCTTTGTCCAAAAAGGTAACATAAAAATTATAAACAAAAACTTTTATGATGAATAATATTACAAAGTATTAGGAAAAAATAAAAGTGCGGTAAATTTCACAAATTCCTCTAGCACAGTTTGTTTTCCCTATCTATACTATTATAAAACTGATTCATCACCCTACATGGATCCACATTATCTGAGTCTCATCACAGATCCTTCAAACACAGTACCACAAACAAGATTAAAGAGTTGGGAAATAAAATAGCCCTGGCTTTGCCTGGCTGGAAGTCTTTAAACTTCACCAGGTCCCGGGGTCCAGGAGGACTGGCTGCAAAGTCATCCATGCAAAGCCAGGCTCCTGAGCTATTGCCATTTTGGCCTCAGCTGGGGGTGGGGCTCAGCACACTGCCCTAAATGCACTCTCTTCTGAGTGAAGTCACCGACATTCTCTGATGAGGAAAGCATGTCAGCAAGAGCAAAAGCCTGTCCATAAGCAGGACAGTGCTCCAACCAAAGCCAGTTAGGAAACTTATAATTAAATTAGATAGAGGATATGGTGGGTGTAACTTTCAATTTTCCTCCTTATTACATTCTTTAAAGTGCAAAATTGGACTCAATCAATCATTGGGAAATAAAGTCTGTTGTTCTGATAGGGAACAAGAAAACTGGGACAATGTCCAGTTTCTGTTTTCAACTAAGAAAATCTGAGTGAGATGACAGTGAGGCAGTAGGTACAGGAAAGCTATGGCCTCCCAAGAATAAGAGAGTTTTAGAGAAATGCTTTAAGAAACCTTTCTCCCTAGACCTCTAAGCAACAAAGGGACGGTAACAAATCAACACAGGAACAATCTTCTGTCTTGGCCAAATGTGGCTGATTGGGAAGCTGAAGCAAATTCTTCAAAAAACAGTTCTACTTTTCTACCTTTCAGTGAGAATACAAAAATCATAGAACCATATGATTAAAAAGAATAATTCTAAATATTGAAAAATCTAGAAATATTCACATTTGTAAAAAACAACGTCCAACTTTAACAGGAAACACAGTTTTTAAAAAATTACTCATCTACTTATAAAATAATACTTCAGTGATTTTAGAATGTTTTCTGATGAGTAAAATTCTTGATTCATATTTTAGGACTGTAAACATAAGTTTATAAGATAAAACAGGCAACAGGGCTTGGAAAGAGGGCATTTTCTTCCAAATGTGCCAGACAAGTCTACTTACCTATACATGTAACCAACCTCAAAAAAATCTGTGGTCCATTTATAGAAATCAAATATCACTTAGAATATATTTTTAAAGATATAGACATATCTTTAAAATTGCAATAAATTTTGAACTATAACTACATTCCTGAAATATATCCATTTTGGTTATGAAACACTATTTTGATCAACGGTTGGATTTAGGTTAGCAGTATTTCACTTCAAATTTTATATCATATTCACTGAAGAAACTGGTCAATATAAGGGGTTGGGGCTAAGGAGGAGATAGTTAATTTAACTTTATAAACTTTTGTATGATTTAAAAAGTCACAATAAGCATTAATTACTATTTCTTAATTTAAATGACTAAGTTTAAATCAGTAAATAAATTTAAATGACTGAGAAAGTTTTTAACAAGACCATGACTGAAAGTCAATTCATTTAAACACTAAAGTTTTTTAAAAACAAAGAAATGACATACCTGAAGAATTACATCACTAAGTCGTTGAGATTTCTGATTTTCCTGAGACTTATCAAGAAGTGAAGCCATTGTTGGACTATGGCATAAACTTGTTTTGCTCTTATCCTGGAGATGCTCTTTTGCTTCTTCAGTCAAGAGAACAGAAAGGAATTGCAAGCTGGCAGTATACAGGGCAGGACACGTGGCGGACAAGCTCGCACATTTGCAGAACATCTCTAAAAGAATAATTTCAGATGTGAATGTGTGAAAATTTCTTCAAAATTAAAGAAGCAAATCAAATTGATTTTAAAGTCACTATACTCTGGATCATTTAGATTACCAACTTGTGTGATTGTGTCACGATTTTCAAACAAGCTGGTGCCAAATAGTATTTAAAAGCCAGACTTGGGCTGGGTGCGATGGCTCAAGCCTATAATCCCAGCACTCTGGGAGGCCAAGGCGGGTGGATCACCTGAGGTCAGGAGTTTGAGACCAGCTTGACCAACATGGAGAAACCCCGTCTCTACTAAAAATACAATATTAGCCAGGTGTGGTGGCACATGCCTGCGATCCCAGCTACTCGGGAGGCTGAAGCAGATGAATCCCTTGAACCTGGGAGGCAGAGGTTGCAGTGAGCCAAGATCGTGCCACTGCACTCTAGCCTGGGCAACAAGAGTGAAACTCTGTCTCAAGGTAAAAAAAAAAAAAAAAAAAAAAAAAAAGCAAGACTTAGTATGCAGTCTTGGCACAATTTACAAACAAATATTTCATAGCAGTTCAGACAGTATAGGAGTAGTTATGAACTGATTCACAAACTTGACACAGAGTGGAAAGAACAGTCCAAACTCAAAGGAATTTACACTGAAACAGTCATTACTTTCTGGTTGTGAGCAATGATTTTGTTTAATCAAAATAACATGTTGTATTACATTTTATTAACTTGAAAATTTGTATTTATAATTTTCTTTGATTTTAGATTTTAGATTTATGCTTGTGTGAGAATTATGACCATAAAAATTTTTACTTAGATTTTGGCTTGTACAAATTAGTTACATAAGAAAAATAAAGTAGTCAGCAGTAGGATTTCATGAGAATTATGTTCATTTAAAGAATGTCCAAATATTAGTCAAGTTTGAGAAAAGACTGTTATAGATAACACAAATTATGGAGTGATCATGCGATGTTTTAAATGTACATGGGCATATGAGATGGAATCTGATTTAAAAAAAGATGGCAAAAAAAAATCAATAATTATTATTAATGTTTTAATTAATATTACTATTATTAAAACCGTTTATGCAGTGTTACTTTTGATTAGCACTATTACATAGAGCTGTACACACATTTTGAAGGCAGGTTTTGAATTTAATAAGTATTTATTTTATCACTAGGGAAATAGTGTCAGGTAAATAAGTTTAAGTCTGAGGTCAGCAAACTTTTTCTGTAAAGGGCCAAATAGTAAGTATTTTATACTCTGCAGGTAACCGCCTTTGTCACAACTATTCACCTCAATTGTTGTAGCATGAAAGCAGCCATATGCAATATGTAAATGACTGTGGCTGTGTTCCAATAAAACTTTATTTATCAAAACGCTGCAGGACAGATTTATCTAATGTGGGCAGCATCATGCTTTCTAGTGATATTACTGGTAATTCAGGTAGCAAACTAATTTTCCCCTAATGGATGCAAGAAGAAGATTCCAATGTCTCAATCAGTCAATCTCTTCCAATTATCTTTTTAACAAAATAATGATATCCTGCGTGGACACTGTACTCCCTCCATGGTAGACTCAGAACTCCTATATCCAGAAAACTAACGATTCTGTTCCTTGTTAGACATACATTTGCCATAACATTTACCATCACTTTGGTAAAAATTGTATCATGCATTTAAGTTTACAGAATGATCAAATGATAAAATAAAATCAGTCAGTTGAATTAGCAGGTACTTTGGAAACAAGATAACTTGGTTTTGAATAAATATAAGCAGATTATTTTAAAAGGTTATATAAATATTAGTTGTGAATATTTATGTCAAACAACAGCTTTTGCTATGCTAAAATTTGGGAGGCTTTATGAAAAATTAAAGGTTAGCTATTTTTAAATAATCATGTTTCTTTTAGTGGCTATCATACGAAAAACATCTTATAAAAATAATTACACTATACACTTGGCATTTTGGTACTATAAGAAAATCCTGATGTCATGAGACAAGATAATATTTTTATCGTAACTTTCCATGTTATCACATATACAGAACTTTATATATGTAGATTTATCCACATACAATGCACATATGTCAGAACGATACCAGCTTCTATATCAACACAAGAAAATTTATCTCATTGCTTTATGATCATATCATATGTGCCTTTATGAAACCACAGGCTTAAAACTGACAAATGGGATCTAATTAAACTAAAGAGCTTCTGCACAGCAAAAGAAACTATCATCAGAGTGAACAAGCAATCTACAGAATGGGAGAAAATTTTTGCAATCTACCCGTCTGACAAAGGTCTAATATCCAGAACCTACAAGCAACTTAAACACATTTACAAGAAAAAAACTACTCCATCAAAAAGTGGAGAAAGGATATGAACAGACACTTCTCAAAATAAGACACTTATGTGGACAAAAACATGAAAAAAAGCTCATCACAGGTCATTAGAGAAATACAACTCAAAACCACCATGAGATAACATCTCACACCAGATAGAATGGTGATTATTAAGAAGTCAGGACAACAGATGCTGTCAAGGCTGTGGAGAAAATGGGAACGCTTTTATGCTGTTGGTGGGAGTGTCAATTAGTTTAATCATTGTGGAAGACAGTGGGGCAATTCCTCAAGCTCTAGAATCAGACATACCATTTGACCCAGCAATCCCATTACTGGGTATATACCAAAGGATTATAAATCATTCTACTATAAAGACACATGCACATGTATGTTTATTGCAGCACTATTCACAATAGCAAATACTTGGAACCAACCCAAATGCCCATCAATGATAGACTAGATAAAGAAAATGTGGCATATGTATACCATGGAATACTATGCAGCCATAAAGAAGCATAAGTTCATGTCCTTTGTAGGGATATGGATGAAGCTGGCAGCCATCATTCTCAGCAGACTAAAATAGGAACAAAAAAACCAAACACTGCATGTTCTCACTCACCAATGAAAATTGAAAAATGAGAACACATGGACACAGGGAGGGGAACATCACACACTGGGGCCTGTCAGGGACTGAGAGGCAAGGGGAGGGAGAGCATTAGGATAAATACCTAATGCATGTGGGGCTTAAAACCTAGATGACAGGTTGATGGGTACAGCAAATCACCATGGCACATGTATACCTATGGAACAAAGCTGCACATTCTGCACATGTATCCCAGAACTTAAAGTAAAATGAAAATAAAGCAGAGTGGCCAATATAATGTTATCAATAAAAAAGGGCTTCATGAATGAAATCTTTAAAAATCTTAAAAAATAAAAATAAAATAAAACCACAAGTTTTTCTAACTCACCTTCATGTTATCTTAAAATGCGTTTCAATTTTGCAAAAATACATTTGTGGGGGGCTCCTCAAGATCACAGCAAAGTTTTCAAAGCAAGCACCCTAATATCTCTTTTATATGCTACACCATCATTACTTAATTTTAGTGAATTCACCTAAGCTAAGCAGGCAGGATAATTATGTCATTTTATTAGCACAAAGCCCCCAAGATTACGCGATTATCTTCTTACCAATCATTGCTGTCCAGTGCTTGGCCAGGGCCACAATAACAGATGGGAGTGCAATGGCACCAGTCTTCCTCAGGAGCGTGGCCAGAAGATTAAATAAATGTGTCCATGTGAGATAAAAAGCTGATATTAACTCTGTATCTATAAAATTAATCAAAACACTTCAAGTTATTAACACAAAGAAGGAAAAGAACCTTTCAAGATATAAAACTTACACAGACACTTCATTACACTTAAAATGAGGGGTCTGCACTTACCAAATGAAAACAAATGTAATTCAGCATTATCCAAAATTCATTTCAGTTAACTTCTCTTTTCCATTGCTTCTTAAGATATCTCCCCTCCACCCTCCTGCATACAAAGGCACACTCCCAAACTCTCCTCTTATTAAAGCATACTCGAGAACCATCAGAGGATGTGACAAACTGAATAGTAAGCCATGACTGCAGAACTACATATTGGCACATCATAAACACATGCCATGGTTTGTGCTACTTTTGTCAGAGTAAGTTTCCTCTATTTCCTTTATCCCCTCCAGCAGCTTTGTGCAGTGGTCAAAGGAAAGCACAATGTGCCAAGGTCAAGGTAGAAAAGAAAGAATTTCTTTGAAGAACCAAGGAGAAACAAGAAAAGTATCATCCCACAAAGAAAACTATGATACAAAAGAAGATTCTGCAGCTCTGCCTGTGGCTAAGGATGTAGCAATCAACCTTCTAGGGTGAGGACACCTTTTCCCATCTCTACACTCAGGTAAATGGAAGCTGGAGAGCAACAGCTGAGAACTCTCTCTGACCATGCCATCAGCAGTATTTGTCATCTTTTATCAAATTCCACTATAATGTATAGGACACTAACTCCAAGGACATCCATCTAGGTGTACTTCAGCACCTATGAGGTACTTGAAAATTGCATCTTCCTAGGGGATTAGATTTAGCAGTCCTTGGTGGCTCTCAACCCTTTTGTCATTGGTGGCTTCCTAAAGAGTTTACTTTAGAAATATGTTTCCTCATTGCCATCTCCACAAAATTTTAATTCCACAGATATACTGTATATCTCTTTATGTACTATATGTGTATCTGTACTTTGAACATAAAAAGACTAAGTATAGAGGTTACTGTTTTATTCAATACAGGCTTAAGAATAGCCGAATAAAACATTTAAGCTGAAAGTTAAATTAAAAATTAAAGACCTATTAACACCAAATTTAACTTTGCAACTATACTTGCTGAATAGCTTTTCATGTAATTTATTTACTTATACATAGCACGATGTATCAATTTATATACATAAATTAGCAATTCATATAAACACATAATAGCAATATAATAAATTCTTATAAAATCATTTAAACCTTATTTTTCCAGAAAAAAATTTAAAAACAATTTCTTAAAAAATACTTTTAGTGAATTTTTAAAACCTTTTGCTAGATACGAGAAAACAATTTTTAATTTAACCAGCTGAAAGATGTACATTCAGATATTGTTGACATTTTTTCCTTTTAGCACTTGATGTAATTAATGACTTAAACAACTTTTATGCAATTAAATAAAATATATACTACTTTCATTTAATTTTCAAAGCCCAAAATCACACAGAAAAGCAAGACGATCAATAAAAAGCATTCACAACACAGCCAGGAGCAGCCAAGATGCAGAGACCACCTTTTGCTGTATGACCTTGGGATCAAATAATCAACCAGAAGTCCTCCAACTGCCGTCATCTATTCACGACAGTTTTGTAGCACTCAGCATGCACACATCTTGTGTATCTCCCATGAACTCAACGTCAATGCTTCTCAAGGAATTTTCAAGAAAAACCAAGAAGAGAAATACTAAGAAGAAGATTGTCTCACGTAGAGTTGAGTTATGGTTTTTTCAATGTTTTTGCCTCATCCTCTTCTCCTCAGAATCAATTTTCACTCCTTAGGGAATAGGGGCGATATTGCCTTGTTGAGCTTGTCCAGTCTAACCTAATTAAGCTTAGTTAGGGCATCACTGCCTCTTGTTGAATTTCTAAGAAAGGAATTGCTACTCCTCTAGCATCGAGATCATTTTAACACTGATGAGATGCTGAGGACTGGCTTTGCTGGGTATCATAATACACTTCATTTTCCAGACCCAAAATCAAGTAAATCCAAAGTTCAAATAAAAATGAACTGAAAGGCAAGGAGAATTACCAAATGGTCAATTACTTCATTATAAATGATTATTTCCACTTTTAAAACAATTATACTAGATTTTGACAAAGATCATACATTGCTTTAATTTTCTCTATTAACCATTACATTCAACTTTTCATCATAAAATGTTTCCTCTGGAGATAACATTAGATCACAAAATATATATATATTTCAATAATTTAGGACCTTAGGAAATTTTTGGTATGTTCTAGATTGGCCTATACTTGTTACTGAGAATGAGTTATTAGATTTTTGGCCTTGGCCACAGTTTATAAGAATAATTAATACCCAGAACTCCCTGTACTTTCTAACATCACACAGAGAGCTTTGCCCTCATTTAAACTGAAAACTCAGGGATGGTCCTTTATTATAGTACACACTTGTCTCAAGTGATACCATTAAAAGGTATCCAAACTATAAAACACACTATCAAAGCCTTCCAGAATACTAGCAAAAAGCAACTCAAAAAGTAACCTTCAAGTAAATATCTGGAACAGATTTTTTTTTTTCTCAGTATTATTTACTTACATTCTAAACTAAAAAAAATTAAACTTACCTAATATATCTTTGGTGCATATGGTGAGAATTCCAATGATATTAGTGATAAGAGGTTTCATAAGCTCATTCTGAATTACAAGGTCAGGCTCCACCAATAAACACGACTGCAGAAGCCTGGACAAAGAGGATAGGTATTCCAGAAGAAATGACACCTATTTGAAAAGGAGGACAGAGTACAATCAAACATGCCATATAAACAGTCCATCTCAGTGATACAGCATTTTACTTTTGTAATACAAGTTAATAAAAAACTACTAAAATATTAATCCTAATTTTTAAAGATCTGAAATTATCACATAACAAAGCATTATTTTTCTCATAAGCATGTCATCCAGTCATATTAACACTGTCAACTACACACCAAAACAAGAAATAGTTTCAAAATCAAGTTTTGAATTCCATTTAAAGAAGAAAAGTCTTGGCCAGGTGTGGTGGCTAACACACTGGTACTGTAATGCCATCCCTTTGAGAGGCCATGGTGAGCAGACGGCTTGAGCCCAGGAGTTTGAGACCAGCCTGGGCAACACAGCGAGATCCTGTCTCTACAAAAAAATGTAAAAATTAGCTGGGTGTGGTGATGCACACCTGTAGTCCCAGCTGCTTAGGAGTCCGAGATGGGAGGACCACTTGAGCCCAGGAGATGGAGGCTGTAATGAGCTGTGATCACACCACTCAACTCCAGCCTGGGTGACACAGCAAGACCCTGTTTCGAAAGAAAAAAAACAGTCTCCATATTTTTCGAGTAGTCAAATTACAAAAATCAATATTCTGGAAGAAGCAGAAAAGTGTATAACAAAGCCATAAAGTCTACAATTTTGTAAAGAAAGAAAGATTACAAAAATACTCTTCAAAGTGTATAATTGGGGAAGGGGTGGGGGGGAGAATGGCCTAGTAGCCTACTTATTCCTACAAATAAAATGCAAATATATTCTATTTTTGCCCACAGCATAAAAATACTATTATTAATTATAAGAGAAAAAATTAAAGCTTCTTCGATATTACCAACAAAAGCATCTCTGGAATTTGCCTGATGCTAATATTGTTAAGCATTAACTGGAAAAAAGTACTTTTCAGAAAAATAATCCTCTGAATATGCAACAATTAAAGAATGAGCTGTGTGATGTCTCATTTGTCCACTATGCTCAAGCCATAGGCCAGTACATATAAGTGAATTTTATAAGATATTCTGAAATCAGTCATTCTCTCTCTCTGTACACATATACACACTTTTTTTCCTCACCTTATTCTGAGGTTGTAAAATGTAATTAGGAGTCAAGGGCCTGTTGTAAATTTGTGGAGTATGTGTCTCTGAGATCAATGGTCTCAGACTATTTAAAAATAGTTCTTTCTATTTCTCCTGATGAATATGTCCTCACTTTATCTACTCTACCAACTTACTTTGTATAAAAGCACAGGTGGCTCTAGCCTTCACAAACTCTTCAGTTGGTGAAATTTAACTTGTTTATTGCTGTGAAGTCTTTTTTGAGATTTCATATTATATTCCTATTCCACACTATTGAAATTACAGCAAGTCTGACCTCTGGATGTATGAAATATTACCATAAATAGATAAATCATACCAGGTGAGAGGCAAGAAGAAGGGTTACAGAGAAAAAGTTGAATTGCTAAAGATTATTTTGTATACGATCACATTCAAGATTAAATAAAGTATTAATATATTAATAGTAGTTGATAAAGTAACTCTTTTTCTATGTATGGTCTGCTTCAAAAAAACATACCAACCAACCGACCACAGATTGTAATACATCATACCTTCCGCAGAGCATAACTGCACCACCAGTGCTCTGCCCACCCCGTCTGCTATAGGTACTCACAGCCTCTGCTTAAGTGTCACCCTCAGAGGGCCTTTTCCTTTCCACCCTACCTAAAAATAGCCACCTCTCCCCTTGCTGACGCACCCTTTTACCTACTCTCACTTACTTTTTTCCATGTCATTTGTGACTATCTGATAAAATACACTTTATTTGTTTACTGTCTGTCTCCTGCATTTAGGACACAGAATCTATGTGAGCAGAGATGCTTGTCTGTTTTGTTCAAGGATGTATCACTAGCACCTAGAACAGAATCTGGTAAAGCAGAGGCTCAAGAATTTTCTGGCATGAGTGAATGATCTTACATAAATACCAGTAGCCCCAAAGCACTGAAGCTACGTAAGGCCAGCTAGTGCAATGGTTCAGAATGTGGGCCCTGGAACTGGCCTGCATATGCTGGAATCTATGTCAGAGACCTGGGGCAAGTCACTCACCTCTCTGGGCCTCAGGCATTTCCTTGATAAAATGACATTAGCAATACTTCATGATTGTTTATTGTTGTGAAGATTACAAAAATCAACAAAAACAAGTACCCATACATGTTTGCTACTGCTATTGTTCATTCACTGCACAAGTATCAAGTGAGCACATGTGATGAGACAAGCCCTGTGCTAGACACTCAGAACACAACAGCACGTAACAGCCAGCCAGGTCCTGACTTCATGGAGCTGACGGTGCCCCTCTGATCTCATCTTGCCCTCATAGATTCTGCTCGAGCCACTCCGCCCTCCTTGCCATTTCTTGGACCTGCCAAGCATACCTCAACCTTAGGGGTCTTGCAATGACCACAGGACTAGCTTCTTCACTAACTTTGGGTTCCACGTCAGCACCTACTCATCCTAAGTGGAACAGCCCTACCCTTCCAACTCTCACATCACTTCCTGTTCCTTGCTTTAGTTTTTCTTCTGAGATGTCTATCATCATCAGACATATATGGATTTTCTCATTATCTAATCCCCCGACTTGAGGGAGGGTCTTTGCTTTATTCACTTGGAGAAGATCCAGGCACACAGTAGGTACTCAACAAAGACTTTTTGGATGGAGAGCAGGAAAATGGAGGAGACAGTCATTATGCAATAGGCATGCTCAAGTGAAAACACTGCACTGGGACAAGTGCTTCAGAGACCATGTGTGTAGCGTTCCCAAACTTTTCAGCTTATTCAGCTCTCATTCCCTGTCTTATTCAGCTCAAGAACACATTTCAAAGCAAGAGATATTGGTCTAGTTCACCTTTAATCACCTCCCAAAAAGTCTTACAGTCCTTCTTAAAATCTAATTTTGAAATAAAATTTCTGTTAGCAACAGCTACATGAATAATTGTTAAGCATGTTTTATATACAGATTCTAGCTAAATTCTAGACAAGAATTTAAAATAACAAATATCGGTGAAGAAACAAGAATAAATTATTTTTATCAAATTGGGTTTTGAAAATACATAACTTAGTCACCAAATATCTTAACAACTTTAACTTTGGTGTAAATAACAGACATAACAGAGATAGCCTAAAATCAAGAAGCAGAAGATGAACTATACCAATGTCCCAATGTCCCTCTTTATTAAAGTGGTGCTCCAAGATATCCAGGCACTTGATTATACATTTAAAGCTGGTTAATGATGGAGCCAAGAATAGAATCTACGTCTTCAAACCCCATCTCTCTTTTCTAACATCCAAACATGTCTCATATTAAAATTTTAAGTAACACATTTCACATAATCTCATTATACCATGTATATGTTGAGAGGTTTTCATCCTTTTCCTACAGCTAGTATCTCCTCAGCAAGATTTATATTTCTGACACCTAACGTAAACAAACCCACAGACAGACATGAAGCAAGAGAGACTTGAGATGCTTACCTGAGCCTGAGTATGTTCAGCTGGAGGTGATGAAGGCAGTAGGGTCCTGAGTTCCTGGACCCATGTCTGTATGAGGGTAGCATCTGCAATGCTGTGAAGATCAGAAAAAGAACATCCTTCAGAAGATTAGTATACTTCCTATTAAAGGTTAATAACTTGGAATTTGAAGTTAAAAGGTAACTCGAATATAATTCAAGAGGAAGGATCTTTATAAGTGAAGAAAATGTTTACAAAAAGATATCCCAAAGAATTTTAAATTGTATTCTGGATTACCTTCAAACAGGAAAAATATCTTGTCAGAGAAAGGTGAGAAGCAAAGAGTTCTGAAGAAAATATCTAAGGAAACCTAATTAAAAGCAGAATAAAATAAAATACAGCCGCCCATTCAGGAAGAAAACAAATGAGTAAAAGGAACCTTGGTGGTTACTTTCCTAATAAAATAACAAAAACATTGGTTAAAATAGCAAAAACACCATTCATATTTAGAAAGTAAAAAAATAAAGTAAAACAAGTAGGAATTTTTTTAAGTCAAAAATGAAAAACAGGTATGGAAATATGATAGCCTTTGCCATAAAAGGTCTTTTAATGCCACATCAAACTGTTAGCTGACTCCTAAGAAGCGAAGAATATCCTATCCCTAGAGCTCTATTTTGGTTATCTTCAGACAGGAGGAGCATCCAGGAAGGAAAGCCGACTGACTAGCAGTTGCTTTTCCAACCCAAGTAGGCACAGGAGAAAAATTAGCAATAAATATTAAAGCCAGAACAAACTCATACCCCATTGCATAATATACATGGTAAAGGTTATAATTACAATTGAATAAGGTGAAACCAGCTACTTCCAGAGTTCACGCTTTTTAGAGTTTTCTTAATATCCCAAAAGGAGAAGGCACTAAGATTTGGCAGAGACAGAAGGCATTCCAGATAGTGAATGTTTAAAGGTAAAGAGACAGAGAGGCAAAGAAATGCAAATGAACATGTGGTCGAAAGGAGGCAGGTATGGTTGGCTACAATAAACCAGACACCAGAAAAAAAGAGAAGTCATACTTACTAATAGATAAGGGGGTATCCTAGATATCATCACTTTTAATTGTCACACTAACCCCATTAAATAGGTGTTAATGACACAGTAGGGATTACAGTAATTTCCCAAGGCTGCAAGCTACAGAGTGAATGAACTATAATTAGACCTTAGGTCGCCTGAATTTCTAGTCCTTTTCGACTCTGCTTTATTAAAAATTCAGAAAAACTATGTCACAGACTGATTAATATCAAATAAGTGATAAAAATTCAAAAAAATTTTCTTTGGATTTAATTTCCCTAAATTTTATCAGAATACTTTCTGATGAAAAGTTTAATTTCCCATAACAAAATAACTCCAAAAGAATTTAACCAGTAATTTTTCAACCCAGGGACATTATTCTGATATGACCACTAAAAAGATGAATTCCAAAACTCTGTCACATCCTTAAGAATAGGGGATAGCACCATATTCCTTAAGTGTGCTGGAGGATAAATAAGGTTTAGAAGCCATGAATTTTAGAAGGCAGGAGTTTTTCTCTGGCCTTAGTCAAGATAACAAACCAATACAATGTTTTAATAGATGTAAAATAAAAACCATGTAGACAATTCTGGCAAAAGCAAAATCCTAGAGTTGAATGAGGCTAAAAAAGAAATAAAGCTGTTTTCCCAGGTCAAATGAAATCTTGTATCAAGTCACAAATATAGCTTATGTAAATTTATCTCTACTACCATGCCTCCCTAGGAGTATTCATCTCTTACCTAGAGAGAAGTTCGATGAGATGAGCTTGTCGGAGAGCCTTTGCAGTGTCTCTGGGAGCAATCACCAAGAGGTTGTCCAAGAGGCTGCACATTGCTGAAAGAAGAGATGGAGTAACAAAAACACACAGTTTGGGCAGGGGAGCAGAAAGAGATGAATCATGAGGTGGCCGCGGTGATGTACTTTCCTGATGACCTATTATTGAAAATAAACATGAGAATTATTATTTTATTTACCTTACAGCGATGTACAATACTCACAAGTTCTTATAATCAGAAGAAAGGTCCTGAAAATGATAGCAGAGAGTTGGGGAATTGCCCTAGCTGCTTGGCTCACCATAACCTTGAGGCTAGGGGGTCAGGCTACCCCTACTACTCCTGACCTCCACCCTCCACCATGTGTGGATGTGGATGTGTACACAGGAACACTGTGATGTGCAGAAGAGACAAGTCAGAAAGGGAAGAACATGACTTCATGTCCCAAGCATTCAGACATTGAGGAACAAACAGACGATTTACAATCATTTTTCTAAAACTCGAGGGGCCAGAAATGTGTCCAAATTCAAATTATCTTTAGATTTTTTTTCAGAGTAAAATCTTATTTAAAAAAATTTTAATTATATATATATAATCATTGTACATATTTATGGGGTACATATGATAGTTTGACAGAGGCACACTATGGGCAATGATCAAATCAAGGTAACTAGGACACTCATCACCTGAAACATTTATCATTTGTGTTGGGAACATTCCAACTCCACTCTCTAAGTTATTTTGAAGTATACAACAAATTATTGTTAACTATAGTTACTCTGTTGTGCTACTACTGAACACGAGATCTTATTCCTCCTAACTGTATTTTGTATCCACTAACCATTCCCTCTTTATCTGGCTCTCCACTTTTCAGCCTCTGGTAACCCTACTTCTACTCTCTATCTTCATGAGTTCAACTCGCTTTTTTTCGGTTCCCAAACATGAGTTGCAATATTTGTCTTTCTGTGCCTGGCTTATTTCACTTAGCACATGGTCTCCCGTTCCATCCATGTTGTTGCAAATGACAGGATTTCATAGTTTTCTGAGTTATATTCCATTGGGTATATACATGGTTCATTTTCTTGATCCATTCATTTGCTGACGGAACTTAGTTCTACATCTTGGCTATCATGAAAGGTGTTGCAATCAACACGGGAGTGCAGCTATCTCTTCGATACACTTTTTTTTTCTTTTGAATATATACTCAGTAGCTGGACTGCTGGATCATAAGGTAGGCTTTATTTTTAGTTTTTGAGGAACCTGCATACTGTTCTCCACAGCGGTTGTACTAATCAAGTTTCCCACTGTATGAGAGCTCCCTTTTCTCCAAAATACTTTTAGACTTTAGAATAAGATATCTGCACCCTACATCAGTTAATATTTCTGTTAGCCTTTGTGCATTCCCTTACTTTCTGGCACAAGAAGATATTCCAGGTATATCTTTTTCTTCCCTAGCCCAAGCTCTAAAATTGGATATTTGTTCCAAAGTGTCGATTCCCTAAAATAAAGAATGGAGTTTGGAGAGCAAGATTCGGGCACTAAATGTATACATTGCTATTAGTGTGTCATTGTTTCTAAGCTAGAAAATGTGTATATTTATACGTATGCATGCACATAAGTACCCTTGAGTACACAAGCATATATTATATCTACGAGTAAAAATCATTAATTTGCCTGTCATTTCAGAACTTTGGGAGGCTGAGGCAGGAGGATCGCTTTAGGAAAGTTCAAGATCAGACTGAGCAATATACAGAAACTTATCTCTACAAAAATTTAAAACTTAAGCAGGCATGGTGGCACATTCCTGTAATGCTAGCTACTCAGGGGCTGAGGTGGAAGGATCATTTGAGCCCAGGGGGTCACAACTGCAGTGAACTATGATCACAGCACTGCACTCCACCTGGATGACAGAGTGAGACGCTATCCCTTAAAAAACAAAATCACTGATTCATACAGAAAGCTCCAAATATAATTCAACACTCCAAATATAATCCAATATTAAACATCTTTCTCCTTCCATATTTGTAATTTCCCTTATGTGAAAGTAAAAAATCTGGTTTTCATTATCTACAATATATTTACTTACTTGCCTTGCCTTACGAACACATTAAGTAGTTTCAGAATTTCTAACTAGTAATACTGCAAAAAATAAAACTAGTAACTAGGGTTCAGTGCTTGGTTACAGTTATTTTTGCCATTAGTCTGGGGACTGAAGTCCTAAAAGTATGTCTGAGAGTTACTAGGATTAGTTCCTTTCTCACTTCAGTGCTGTTCACGTGAAATGTAGCTGGATTAATTTGTATTCCATGTCATTTTTCCCCATTTTTGATTTTATTTTTCTTTTCAGCAAGTAAAACATACACGGTTATAAACGCCAAACTACAAGATATATGCAGAGAAGTGTCACTGTCCCCACCCCTCAACTGCTTTCACACTGTTCCCATCCTCTCTTATTTCCTACCTAACTCCTACCCATCCTCATAATTAATCTCATTCATGTCCAGCTGCTCCTTCCTGTTTTCTTTCTACACAGATACATGCATTTTAAATTTTCCCTTCTTTCATATGCAAAAAGTAGGAAACTGCAAATATCATAAACTATACTCTTTATCATGGTGCTTCTTTCTTCACTTGACAATGTTTCCTAAAATTTGTTTCATATCTGTTTGAAGATATCCTCCCTTCTCTTTTTTTTTTTTTTTTTTGAGAAAGGGTCTTACTCTGTTCCCTAGGCTGGAGGCTAAAGTCTAGTGGTGGAATCATGGCTCACTGAAGCCTCAAAGCCTGGGCTCAAGTGATCTTCCCACCTCAGCCTCCTGAGTAGCTGAGACCGCAGGTGCGTGCCATCATGTCCAGCTAATTTATTTTATATTTTGTAGAGACACAGTCTCGCTATATTGCCCAGGCTGAACTCAAACTCATGGCCTGAAGCAACCCTCCTACCTCAGCCTCCCAAAGTTCTAAGATTATAGGTGTGAGCTGCTGTGCCCAGCACCCCCCTTTTCTTTTTAATAGCTATAGTTCTCCATTATTATTTTTAAAATAAATTGTATTTATAAATAATTTTGTTACACATTTATCATTATCTATATATTGTTATATATTTATTTAAAAACTACCATTCTACTTAGAGGCATTTATATTGTTTCCAATATTTTATGATTACAAACAATGCTTGCTAAATTATCAAGTACATATGTATTTTTATATTGTTGGAGATAAACAAAAGAGAATTCCTAGAAGTGGAATTGTTTAGTCAAAGGTAAATACATAGTTTTGTTATCTATTGCCAAATTTTCTTCCAAAAGAATTATACTAATTTGCATTCTAACAACATATGAAAGTGCTCGTTTTCCACAGGCTCGCCTCACCAACAGAATGTACTGCCAATACTTAATTGTTGGCAATTTAATAAATAAAAAAGTATCCTCGGGTAGTATTAATTTGTATAACATTTATCCAAAGATAAAGGCTACTTTTAGGGCCTTTGTGAAGTATCTTTTCATGTCTTCTGCTCACTTTTACATGAGGCTTTGTGTTATTTTCCCCTCAAGTATTATGCCTGTAATCCCAGCCACTTGGGAGGCTGAGGCAGGAGGATTACTTGAGCCCAGGCATTCAAGATTGTAATGAGCTATGCTCATGCCACTGCACTCCAACCTGGGTGACAGACCTAGACCCTGTCTCTTTAAAAATAATAATAAATTTTTGGAAATAAAAATGAAAAAAATTAAATTTAGGTAATTACAATAAAAATTGTTCAAATGATTTCAGGGGTAATGTTTCAGTATTCATAAAATATGTATTACATGTCTTCAGCATTTCTAGAACAAGCATATAGAAACCTTTTTTGAATTTTTCTGCAAAAAGAGCTAGTTCAGAAAATTGTTATATTTTTTCAATTTTCTTGCTAATTTATTTTGTAAAACTAAGGCGACATTTGATGCTCTGATCTTATTTCCAGGTTTAGGAGAAAGGGAATATATCTGATAGTGTCATACATCACAAGGTAATGTGAGCATGAACCCTCTGTTCACACCTCCCCTTTCTGTGGGTATTCTTTCTTCTACATACTTTTTTTTTTTTTGGGTCATATATATGTGGTGAAATGATTGGCAACCAGTAAAACTGCATAAATATACATTTAAAGCGTAACACTTGTGGCTGGGCATGGTGGCTCATGTAATCCCAGCACTTTTGAGAGGCCAAGGCAGGTGGATCAACTGAGGTCAGGGGTACGAGACTAGCTTGGGTGACACTGTGAAACCTCATCTCTACTAACAATACAAAAATTAGCCAGATGTGGTGGCACACCTCTGTAATCCCAGCTACTCAGGAGGCTGAGGCACGAGAATCACTTGAACCCAGGAGGCAGAGAGGCTGCAGTGAGTTGAGATCACGCCACTGCACTCCAGCCTGGCAACAGAGTAAGACTCTGTCTCAAAAAAAAAAAACCATAATACTTGAAAATAAATTTAAAATCAAGAGTAATCCAAACAAAAAAGAAAAAGCCTGTATATCCACACAAATGCCTATATCAAGTGATGATGGGTAACTGTAATATACTCATACAGTTGAATATTATTTATCAATAAATAAATGAAGTTCTGACACATGCTAGAACATGGATGAACCTTGAAAACAGCACACTAAGTGAAAGATGCCAGTCACACAAGACCATGTTATATGATTCCATTTTTACAAAATGTCCAAGGCAGGCAAATCTATAAAGAAGGAAAGTGGATCAGTGATTTCACAGGGTGCCAAGGATGGGGTAGACAGGGAATGACTGCTAACAGGTACAAAGTTTTTGCGGGATAATAAAAATACTCTAAAATTGGTTGTGGTGATGGTTGCACAACTCTGAATATACATAAAGCCAATAAATTATACACTTTAAACAAGTGAATGATATGCTATGTGAACTATATAAAGCCGTTAAAAATAAGCGTAAGGCTACATGATTTTAGAGATAAATGTTCACAAAATTCATGATCGAATTTCACTTCATGCCCTATGTCCTTAGCCATTTAAACAATCTGAGTTTGCTCCTTTTGTTTTTTTTTTTTTTTTTTTTTTTTTTGGAGTCTTGCTCTGCCGCCAGGCTGGAGTGCAATGGCACAATCTCAACTCACTGCAACCTCCACCTCCAGGGTTCAAGCGATTCTCCTGCCTCGGCCTCCCGAGTAGCTGGGACCACAGGCACGTGCCACCACGCCCGGCTAATTTTTGTATTTTCAGTAGAGGCGGGGTTTCACCATGGCCAGGATGGTCTTGGTCTCTTGACCTCGTGATCCGCCCGCCTCGGCCTCCCCTCACGCTGGGGATTACAGGCGTGAGCCACCGCGCCCGCCCCTGTGGTTCTTAAGATCAAATGAGAGGCAGTCACGCACTCGCATCCGCAAGATGGCGGCCGCCAGGGACGGTTGTGGCAAAGGAGAAATGGCCACAGGGAATGGGCGGCGGCTCCACCTGGTGATTCCTGAGGCCTTGTTTGTGGAAGACGTAGATTCCTTCATGAAACAGCTTGGGAATGAGACTACAGATACAGTACTAAAGAGGCTGGATGAACAGTACCAGAAGTGTAAGTTTATGGAACTCAACCTTGCTCAAAAGAAAAGAAGGCTAAAAGGTCAGATACCTGAAATTAAACAGACTTTGGAAATTCTAAAATACATGCAGAAGAAAAAGGAGTCCACCAACTCACTGGAGACCAGATTCTTACTGGCAAATAACCTGTACTGCAAAGCTTCAGTTCCTCCCAATGATAAAGTGTGCCTGTGGTTGGGGGCTAATGTAATGCTTGAATATGATATTGATGAAGCTCAGGCATTGTTGGAAAAGAATTTATCAACTGCCACAAAAAATCTTGATTCCCTTGAGGAAGACCTTGACTTTCTTCAAGATCAATTTACTACCACAGAAGTCAGTATGGCCAGGGTATATAATTGGGATGTAAAAAGAAGAAACAGGGATGATTGTACCAAGAACAAAGCATAATGTTGGCAATTAAAACTGTGGTTCAGTTTTCCAAACTTGTTATCTCAAATACTCCTTTATCCTTACAGGTTGACATAATTTTGAATGTTTTAACAGCAAGAATTTTAAGAAAAGATAAACACCATTTTATTTATTTATAAAAACAAAATCAGTTTCAAATATTTTTGACTTTGTGTTTTTATTTTCACATTTCTCAGCAAAGCTAATGCTATTTTAATCATTATTTTTGTCATAAGAGAACTCTTAGCTGAAATGGCCAAAAACTGTGAGACATGCTATGGAAGCTGAATGCCAGACACTAGCACAGCTTACTTTTTCCCTTTCTTATTGGCCGATGTTACTCTCACTTGATGTGGTTAAACCATTTTAGAAGTAGAGAAGACAGATATTGGGAGTATTTGTAAACTGGTTTTTATTTGGTATATGTAGGATTTAGTGATCCTCCATTGCTAGTGTCTTCTATAAATGGGGTTTCATGACTTAGTGCTTAACAAATAACTACTATGATATTTTGAACATTTCAGGAAATGGTAATTTGCCTTGTTATGCAGTAAGAGGGCTATTAAGACAACATTTTTTTTTAACCTCAGATAAGTGCATAGTGTCTTTGCAGTGCCAACATAAGGGAGATCTTGGCCAATATGAAATAAAGTTACTCATTTGAAACTCTTGGCTAAGGTGATTTTGTAGTTCTTAACAGTTCTCCAAAGCATCTTGAACAGGAATATTAAGATAAATGTAAATCTGCAATGGCTGAAAAGAGTTGTGAGCTTTTTTACTCATGAGAAAACCTTATAGGAATAGTAAAAAAAAAAAATCCCTGTGGAAAGCTACTAGTACATTGGCCAGTGCTGGGTGGTACAGATTCTGATAAAAATATAAATGTGTTAGTTCATCTCCACGTAGTTAAAAAGTATACAATGTTTTGTACTTATATTTCGTGGTATTAAAACACTGATGCTTTAAAAAAAAAAAGATCAAATGAGTATTTCCTACAGTTAAACACTTTTACGTATCGTGAACATGAACTACTAAAAACCAAAATGGAACACTGTTTAGGAAATTATTGGAAACAATATTGTAATGAAAATTCAAAGTTTTAATTCAGCAAATTTTTCTAAACGTTTCAGAAAGCATTTTCTTTGCATATACTTATATGTATGCCACTGTTTACTTTCTTTTTAGGTAGTATATTTCAAGTCAGGAATTTAATACTACTAAATAATACTTATATACTCTCTAGAATTAAAAAAACAAAAAAAAAGCTAAGCTGCAATCTTCAAAATATATAAAATTTGAAGCACAGCAGTGTTGGAAGCAGTTCCCAGTACCAGGAGTAAAATTTATATACTGTCATTAATAAAAATAAGTCCCAAGTTGTGTATTGTGTATTTCTAATAAAATAAAGACTGAATACATTTTATGTGCTTTTAAATGGAAGCACAGCCTTAGAAAATACCAGAATCTCTTTACTTTCAAAGTGGATTACTTGTAATAAAGTGCTTTCTCAAAAGAAGGGAAAAAATAAAGTTATACCCATCAGTTCCCAAATTCTAATGTCAAATACCTATAAGAGTCTAACAAGGAGCCATATGGGAATCAGACTATTTATTTGATAGCCAAATTCCATTTATTAGTTAAGAGCATTTGTTTTGTTAATTTCTGATATATTTACTCTAAATTTATTTCATAATGGTCTATAACTTATTTCACTAAAATTATGTTCTTTAGACATTTACTTTCAAAATATCTGTCTGGACCAACTTGTCATTTTTCTTTTTTGAAGATAGAATGTCTTCGCTAAAAGGATACCTTGAGCCACAAACTGGTCATGGGAGACTTCAGGTAGAAGTGTTGGTGACTGCACAAGTGGCTGGAATTCAGCACTCTCCGATGAAGGTGCCACCTATGAATCAGCAAATTATTTTACCTATTAATGTGACAGTATGGAAAATGAAACAGAAGCAACATATACACAAGATATCCTTAAACAAGAAGATTTATAAAAAAATTATACTGGTTAAGATAACTTACAGTAGTTTTTATAAATGGCATTTTCTACTTCTTCTTTTTTTTTTTTTTGAGACGGAGTTTCACTCATGTTACCCAGGCTGGAGTGCAATGGCGCGATCTCGGCTCACCGCAACCTCCGCCTCCAGGGTTCAGGCAATTCTCCTGCCTCAGCCTCCTGAGTAGCTGGGATTACAGGCATGCACCACCATGCCCAGCTAATTTTTTGTAGTTTTTAGTAGAGACGGGGTTTCACCATGTTGACCAGGATGGTCTTGATCTCTTGACCTCGTGATCCACCCGCCTCGGCCTCCCAAAGTGCTGGGATTACAGGCTTGAGCCACCGCGCCCGGCCTTCTACTTCTTCTTAAAGGAACTGTCATTGTTTACATAAATCAGTGACTCAAAGGAGCAAAGTTTTAACTTGAGGTTCATTTAGGTGTTTAAGGTTCCCATAAGGCCAATTCTCTCATTGCCCAAATGTTAGAAAGGCTAAAATATACCACTTTAACTATATTTCATTGTTATATTTTGCATTTCTTGATTCATAACAAAGATATTTTTTAATGTTCCAAGTGGCAAATATAAATTTTAATAATGCCTAAAAAATTAAAGTATTAAAAGATTTTTCTCCACCTCATCTCATATCAAGGAAGAATATTAAAAAGTTGTGCCAATATGCTGACACTGCTTCAGAATACAACATTTAAATAACAGAAAAATCTGTGGAAAGCAAATACAATTTCAACTACAGGTTTATAATGAGCAGACCGACCTTCTAAGACTGAAAAAGCCCAAAGTGATGTGTTTGGCACCTCTTAGGTGAAAAACACTTTACGTGGTGAAATCAGATAACTCTTCTCTTTACCATCAATTTCTCCTCTGTGAAACAACATGAAGTGCCCATATCTGGGTAGCCTCCATATCAGTGCATGCAACACAACATAAGCGATCAACAGAAGTTATAAAGTACCACTCCAGACTCAGATCCTATATTACTTATGACATTTGTATGTTGATTGTGTATATATCTTAACACTTAAATAGAGTACCTTAGACTTACTATGATATAATGAAAGCAAAAAGTAAGGTTATTTTCATTTATAGTTTCTAATAGTAAAGAGAATATAAACTTGAAGAAATTACTGAACATGAAATAAACAGTTTTTTGATTCCCCCTTTTAACTTGAGCCCTTAACCATCTTTCACCACATTAAGTAAATATAAGTCATGATACTAAGAAATAAGTGAGGAAGCTGCAGCTAAAAAATGTAAGCTAAGCATATAAAATAACCTAAAAGCTAAATCCAGAAAAAAGTTCAGTCTAAATAAGTCAAACATAAACAAACATTAAATGCCTTATTTTATATAATATTAGATCCAGATACTAGGTAAAAATAACCTAAAGCTTGTTTAATTTAAAAAATATATTTGCCTACAATTGGCAATGAGATGAATGTGATATCTGTTCCTGTCAACAGATATCAAGACAACATTTATAGTTCAGTGAAGAAAATCATATGCCAAAACTGGTATCACGAACTATGCAAAAGCTAATCTATCTGGCTCCTGCCACAAATCTTGCTTGTATAAGAAAACTTAAGGAGATAATGATGCTGAAATCCTTTATCATTTCACTGAACATTCTTTCAGTTGACAAAGACTCAAGAAGGCCTTATTAGTGATAGAAATAGGTATCTGGTTTGCAGTTTCAAGATCAGTGTGCAGAAAGAAAGCTTATAAGGGCCCACTAAATACCTGGCTCATTAGAAGAAAGCTAAGTTGTGCTTTGTGAACAAAGGTCTGGCATTAATAAAAATCTGATTTTTCCTAGTATAGTCCACAGAAGGGATACACAAGTTTAGAAAAGATCCTTTTAGAAAGTACCTTATAGTTGTATTATAACTTATGTCATGTGGCTGGAGAAACACAAAGATTGCCTTATATGGTGCTTTAAACTTGATTATGGATGATTTATATTTCTACTATCCTCTCTCTATTTTTTAAATTTGCTAAATTAACATATTGCTATTTTAATAAGTAAAAACAAAAAATTCCTCCACTTCTGTGCTCAAATCCTTGCTTGTTTAGAAATAATCTCCAATATAGTATTTGGTTATATTTGATAATGTACACTGATATGTAAATATGTTACTTTTCACCTTGAAATCCAAGTAATAACTAGACAATTTTGGCATTCAAGTACTAGCTACTAGAAGGTGCAGTATGAGCACCTATAGGTAGAAAAAGCCTGATCTAGTCCAGGTCCTCATTTAGAGAAAAGAACCACAAGTTAAGGGATTTGTTGAAATTGAGACTAATCAGGATTCTCAGTCCAGGACTGTATTCATGAATGACAGCATAAATGCATTAAAATCAGAGCATGTCCTCAGATGTACCTCTTGAGAAAGGTGGCTGGCCTCGTTTGAGAGGAGAGGCTTCTTTCTCCGTGATCCCCGTGTCCCCATGAAACTTCAGCTAGACTAAGACCTCTGTCCCATCCCAGACAGAGAAGGGAAAGCTGAGGGAGGGGGAGTTGGCTTTAAGAGCAAACTGGGCCTGCCTAAGTCATCCCTTCCCGTCAAGCTTCATGCTGCTCTCTACCTCGCAGTAAGTAGGAAGCCCCATGTGGGATGCCTAGGGTTGTCCTCTTACAACAGTGAGAGTCTAATTCTTGTATCTATCACTTGCTCAATTCACTAAAATGGGCTAAGTGCAAAATCATGGTCTAGACTTTTCCCTTGTTTTCACGTCTACCGTATAACATATCCTAAGATCTTCAATTTATATTCCCTTGATAAGACAAAATGAAACCTGAATTTGAATATATTTCTAGCCTTATCACTTTGCAGATATTGCAGAAGACAATACAAGGTTTTTAGAGCAGGTTGATGCTACTTTTAAAGGTACTGTCCTAAAACAGACTCAGATTGTGTAATGGATGTTGCTAGCGGATAAGAGTTGGGCAAAGGGGGAGATGTTTGGTCAAAGAGTGCAAACTTTCAGATAAGATGGGAATAAGTCCTGGGAATCTAATGTGCAGCATGGTGAATATGGTTAATAATACCGCACAGTCTACTTGAAATTTCTTAAGAGAGTAGATTTTAAGTGTTCTTACCACACACAAAAAAAAGGTTCCCTAAGGTTAACTAATTTGACTGTGGTAATCATTTCACCACATATACATAGATAAAATAATCTCATTGTATACCTTACATACATACAATTTTATTTGTCATTTATAGCTCAAAGCTAAGGGGAATAAAAAATAAAATTGACTCAAATCTTGCTTATAAAAACAAAAAAAAGTCTTCAATGTGTTTGTAAGCAGATTTGGTAACTAAAGAAGGTTTCTAAATTATGCTTCAGTGTAAGATAAGCAGCTAAAATTAAGAAAGTCCCTTTGAAATCCCTGAAAATAGCAGTCATTTGCCATATCCAAGTAGAACTGGAGCACACAAAAAAGACAATTTCTGTCATATAAGCAAAAATGCAGCAATGTTCAAAAATGATTTTCTTTGTATCTGCCTTATAGAAAAAAGTCATTTCGGTCCGGGCGCGGTGGCTCAAGCCTGTAATCCCAGCACTTTGGGAGGCCGAGGCGGGTGGATCACGAGGTCAAGAGATCGAGACCATCCTGGTCAACATGGTGAAACCCTGTCTCTACTAAAAATACAAAACATTAGCTGGGCATGGTGGCACGTGCCTGTAATCCCAGCTACTAAGGAGGCTGAGGCAGGAGAATTGCCTGAACCCAGGAGGCGGAGGTTGCGGTGAGCCGAGATTGCGCCATTGCACTCCAGCCTGGGTAACAAGAGTGAAACTCCGTCTCAATAAAAAAAAAAATTAAAAAAAAATAAAAAAAAATAAAAAATAAGAAAAAAGTCATTTCACTTTTTGAAAGTTAATTCAGAACTTGAATATTTTATTTGTCAAAATGATCTTATAACAGTTTCATCAACTTCCCTCAAAAGCAGTACTGGTGCCAAAAAAAGGCTGTTTTTAAAAAGGTATAAAGGGAGAAAATAAGGATTGTAATGTGAAAAAAATGAAGTGCAAATATAGCCATGTTTTTAAAACATGCGAAATTATAAGATGTGAAGGGTTTCTATGAGATTCTAAGTTCCATGTGTTCATTTTAATAAATACTTTTCTCTATATGCCCAAGAGAAGAAAAGATTTGACATGCTTCTCAATTTGTAATCATTAATTCTAAACAAATTATAACAAGAAGTTTAAATCATTGTAACTAATAGATTCATAATTCAAATGGATGTGTACAATATACTTAAAAAAAGAAAGTTCCGAAAATTCCTCTGAAGGAAATGAACAGAAGATGATAGATGACTCTTGCACATCTAACGAAAAGACCGCTTAAAGGGACAGATTATCACCACAACATAGTCACAGTCCCTGTGCCATCCTCTGTGTAATTTAAGAGCACAAATTCCCAAAAGCTTGTCTCACTTGTATTTTCCTCCTAATTAAATACATAAGGTTGTTAGACTCTCAATAATCCACAGGTGGCTGAAATTTATTTAAACAGAGTATATCATTTTCTTTCTCTCTCCACCACCAAACTGCCACCTCCTCAAGCTTTCCTGGGGTCACCATGCTGGAAGTCTGTCTATGTCCTAAGAGTGATGCCTATGTCAAAACTATTTTTATTTTAAAAAGCCCCTTAGATCCATCCCTGCTTAAACTGTCCTCTGTCTACTCTTCATTCTATGAAACAACTTTAACTACCATCAAATGAGTGTCCATATTATTTCTCTCATAATGTTTCATGCCATTCCATGCTGCTGAAATATCCGTTTATCTTTATCTCTATTGCTATTATATCTTACCTCTTCAAATCCAAAAGCTGACTCAGCTTTCTTAACTAACTCCTATCTGATTAGTCAGGTCATCAAACTTTAGCTTTCCCTCCCACATTCTACTCCAAAGAACCTCTTGCATTTTCTGAATGTTAATGCCTTCAGTACCACACAACTTTGTATTCAGTTACTTTCTAATTATACTTTATGTTCTCACATAGACTTTTATCATTGAAGTGGTCACTGAATCCTAAGGAATATTTGAATCTTTTCAGCCCCTTGCAAATGTGTGCGTGTATAAAAGAGACGGGGATAATATTTTAAAGCCCATTTCAATTGCCATGTCCTACTCAAAATCACTTCTCATTTCATCATTCCTTCTAAAGAAATCTCACTGCCACTTGGCTATAGCATCTTTTATGGGATCAATCACATCTGGCCTTAGAGTGAAGGAAGGGGCAAACACACTTCTGGACTCAAAAGAATGTTCTACCATCCACTATGCTAGGAGTGGGACCTCACTCCATACCCAAATTTCCCCTTTTGCAAGATAATAACAATGCTTTTCAGGTTTGTTTGTTTGTTTTTGTTTCTTTGAGACAGAGTCTCGCTCTGTCATCAGGATGGAGTGCAGTGGCGCAATCTCGATTAACTGCAACCTCCACCTCCCAGGTTCAAGCGATTCTCCTGCCTCAGCCTACCGAGTAGCTGAGACTACAGGTGTGCACTACTGCACCCAGCTAATTTTTGTATTTTTAGTAGACGTGGGGTTTCACCATGTTGACCAGGATGGTCTTGATCTCTTGACCTCGTGATCCGCCCGCTTTGGCCTCTCAAAGTGCTGGGATTACAGGCATGAGCCACTGTGCCCGGCCCAGTTTTTTTAAGACTATGAAGTATAAAAATTCTCTTTCAATGTTCAGAAAAACTAAAATCAGCTTCTTTAAATCTGTGCTCCAAAAGTTTGAAAGTATCACATATTTCACAAAGAAAGGCTCAAAAAGAAAAAAATTACATTTCCCACATATTCTATTTTGATAATTGATTTTAAAAAAATACAGACATAGTTCTGCTCAGGAACAACAGGAAAGACCAAATTTTGGTCATAAAGCTGTTGCTGCACACAGGTATGTAAGAGACACAAACACTTGTCCATCTTGGATACCTCTCAGAAGTATAAATGTGATTTCAAGAGGAAAAACAACACCTAATGGCTGAATCCTCCTACCCTAGAGAAAGAGAATACTGAGCTTGATAGAGACCATTCCTGAGGAAGCATTTACAAGGCCGATGCCCCTGATCTAACAGTGACACTCTGCTTACTCTATCTGTAGTTTATAAAACATACAGGACCCAACAATCCTTACAAAGCTTGCCAAACAACTGAACTAATATTCATTAGATAACAGCACAAAAGTCCCTAACTTGGCATTAACAGCACAAAATGGATAGTGACCCAGGAGGAGCATGCTGGATGATAAGACACAAATCAAAAGATGATGCTTTCCTTGGAAAGACAAAATAGAAAAACCAGCCAATCAACCAATAAGAGATTGCATTTTTTCTCAATTCTGAGATAAAACAAAGATATAAATAAGCAGATAAGCTGATTAATAAGATGTACATCCACTCAACTTATACCTCAATTTGTAACTTCAACAGTTTCTAAAAATGAGAAAGTGTGACTTGGTCTAAGCACTGGCACCTTTAGTTGAAAGTATTCCTGGCATAAATCTCCAGATTTTTCTCCCATTGGGACAAAGATACAGATCATTGTAGGTATGGTAAAGAAAATATGACAACTAGTAGAATTAGGATACTAAGTCTATTTTTGTAAATAAAAGTCACCCATTCTAAAAATTGTTTGGAACCCCCCAAAAAAGAAAGTAAAAAGTAGACGTGTTTTCTTGTATAGGATAAATACAACTTGAGTGCTCACCACAAAATAGCTAGGATAACTCAAAGTTAATTAGAACAATCACTATTTACTGAATACCTACTAAAAGCAAAAAACTGAAGTATATACAAAGATTTCTAGGCTAGTCTATAGCCTTCTGACAAATAGGTTAACCTAAGAAAATTTACTTTTAAGCACACATTCATGTTGTCCTTCTGTGAACTAAATAACCAATTAATACACTTCACTTTGGCATTTATCATATTACTACTCTTGTTGAGACAAAGGTACACACTATCTCCACGTGGGAAAGGAAAGCATGACATCTAGTGGAACTCGGGTAATTATCTTACTTTTCCATATGAAGGTCCGATTAGCACTAAACATAAATACTTCTCTTGAATCTAGGGGAAAAAAGACTTAAAACTGTAGCAAAAAGTATCAGTCTTTTGAGAAACTAGGAGATTGTTTAAACATAATCTTTAAATTATAATGTCTATGTAACAATTATTGTTCTCATATTATTTTTGTTCCTGGAAACAGATGCATCAAACCTTCGTCTTCCTAATATGTTCTATACAACACAGTAATTATTCAAAAAACACTTTAAAATTAAAGGTAATGTTATCCAGTTGAGAATAAATGATTCTATATGTTTATAAATAACTGAAAACATCAATCATTACTCATAAATACTGAGTGTTTCAAACTTTTCTGCAGAAAAAAGCAACTAATGCATGAATGAAAGGAATGAAAGAAGGCATGCAGACAGGCATATATAAATTTCAGGTATTCCAGATAAACTTCTATGTGATGCAAGTACTTAGAAGTGTGTTAAAGTTGTCAGCACCACACTGGAACATCTGAATGTTCTTCACATTGCCCTGCCCTTAAGCACAATCTCAGGGTAATCAAGCATTTTTAATCATATGCAACCTGTTCTCTTCTAATACTAATGATAAACACATTTTCACACTTTTGTACTATCAAAAAAGAGAGGAAAGAGAGGTTGAAAATTCTCAACTAAAGGGATACTCAACTCAGTGTAGCTATACTGTAGCAAGGCATACCCTGGTTCAAACTCCAATTCTGCTACCTACAGCACTAATGATCACAGAGTTACTTTACTTCAGAGTGGTTTGCGCTCACAGAAAAGCAAAATAAGCATCTATAATGTATGGCTGATGTGCAGGTTATATACAATAATTTTAGCAAAATTCTGCAGACAGCATTTCAAATAAATCATAGCTGTTATAACCTTACACTTTGTATTCTTATCTTTTCCCACCATGCAAATTCAAATTTTTTCAGAGATTCAAAATGAAGCGCTTATGCATTCTTTGCAAATACCGTTGTTTCTGAGGTGGAGAGAGAACTTGGATCTTGATCCTCACTGGATATCCTGGATGGAGGCCTCCAAAACTTGAATGAGTCATCTAAACCTGCAACAAAAAGAAAAATGTTAACATGGACACCCTCCTGGGAACTGTAACAATTAACTAAAAGAGTACTCATTACAGGAAACCAATTCAAAACTAAAGAAAGAAAAAAAATTTACATGGATTTAGCTTCTAAGATAGACCTTTTTTTTTTTAAAGCAAATGTAAGAAAGAGTTGTTGTTGTTGTTGTTTAATGTGCATGAGAATCACTGAGAGCTTGCTAAAGCAGTTGCTGCAGTCCCAACCCCAGAGGTTCCAATACCCCAGGTCAGAGTGGAAGCCCTGAATGTGCATTTCTAACAAGTTCACAGAAGATGTCAGTGCTGTTAGTTGGGGCCATGCTCTGAGTAACTGATCCACAGAAATTTACACAATTAAGTCAGTCACTTTTCTAACAGGGATAATTATTTAAAATGTTCAAAACTTCATCAAATGTCATTTTCTTGATTCCTCCAAGATGTAACAGAAAAGTAAATCATAAGTAAATCATAAATTCACAGTTAATAATTTGGGATAACGGAAATTCATGTCTTCAATTTACTCTTAAATGGCTCAGAAAGGATACACAGAGATCATACATTTCCATTTATACACATATACACACATGAAGTAGAAAGTAAATATAGTAAAATGTTAACATTTGAGGATTTTCTTGTACTACTCTTGAACCTTTTTTGTAAGTTTCAATCTATGGCAAGATTCTAAAAAATTACTTTAAAAATGAATTTACAAATACAAGCTATTTATAGTATTAAATTACTATTTATTATGAAATATATTTATTATTTTTATGTGCTCAGATCTTATACTCAGCAAATCTAAGAGAACCTACAAACAAAAGGAATAAACAGGTTTCAGGAAAATACTGTGACAAATGAGTAACATACTAAAATAAACAGCTTTTGATACATGAGCAAAATAAATTAGAAAATGTAGTGGGAAAGGTCTCATTCACAAGAAGAATGAAAAAATTTACATTGCCTAGAAATGGAAGTTCCAAAAAAGTTTAAGACATTAATAGAGAAAGAAACTATAAAACTGTACTGATATGCATAACATAACTTGGTATTGATGGAACATATCTCAAAATAATAAGAGCTATTTATGACAAACCCACAGCCAATATTATACTGAATGGGCAAAAGCTGGAAGCATTCCCTTTGAAAACTGGTACAAGACAAGGATGCCCTCTCTCACCACTCCTGTTCAACATAGTATTGGAAGTTCTGGCTAGGGCCATCAGCCAAGAGAAAGAAATAAAGCGTATTTGAATAGGAAGAGAGGACATCAAAGTGTCCCTGTTTGCAGATGACATGACTGTATAGTTAAAAAACCCCAACGTCTCAGCCCAAAATCTCCTTAAGGTGATAAGCAACTTCAGCAAAGTCTCAAGATAAAAAAATCAATGTGCAAAAATCACAAGCATTCCTACACACCAATAACAGACACACAGAGAGCCAACTCATGAGTGAACTCCCATTCACAATTGCTACAAAGAGAATAAAATAACTAACAAGGGATGTGAAGGACTTCTTCAAGAACTACAAACCAATGCTCAAGGAAATAAGAGAGGACACAAACAAATGCAAAAACATTCCACACTCATGGTTAGGAAGAATCAATATCATGAAAATGGCCATAGTGCCCAAAGTATAGATTCAATGCTATCCCCCATCAAGCTACCAATGACTTTCTTCACTGAATTGAAAAAACCACCTTAAACTTCATATGGAACCAAAAGTGCCTGCATGGCCAAGACAATCCTAAGCAAACTTCCTAAAAAAAAAAAAATGAAAAGAAAAGAAAAAGCTGGAGATATCACAGTACCTGACTTCGAACTATATTACAAGGCTACTATAATCAAAACAGCATGGTATTGGAACCAAGACAGAGATATAGACCAATGGAACATAACAGAGGCCTCAGAAAGAACACCACATAACTATAACCATGTGATCCTTGACAAACCTGACAAAAACAAGCAATGAGGAAAGGATTCCCTATTTAATAAATGATGTTGGGAAAATTGGCCAGCCATATGCAGAAAGCTGAAACTGGATCCCTTCCTTATACGTTATACAAAAATTAACTCCAGATGGATTAAAGATTTAAATATGAGACCTAAAACTATAAAAATTCTAGAAGAAAACCTAGGCAATACCATTCAGGACATAGGCATGGGCAAGGACTTCATGACTCAAACACCAAAAGCAATGGCAACAAAAGCCAAAATAAACAAATGGGATCTAATTAAACTTAAGAGCTTCTGCACAGCAAAAGAAACGATCAATAGAGTGAACTGGCAACCAACAGAATGGGAAAAAATTTCTGCAATCTACCCATCTGACAAAGGGCTAATATCCAGCATCTATGAAGAACTTACACAAATTTACAAGAAAAAAACAACCCCATCAAAACGTGAGCAAAGGATATGAACAGACAATTTTCAAAAGAAGACATTTACGTGGCCAACAAACATATGAAAAAAAGCTCAGCATCAATGGTCATTAGAGAAATGCAAATCAAAACTACATTGAGATACCACCTCACGCCAGTTAGAATGGTGATCATTAAAAAAAATCAGGAGACAACAGATGCTAGAGAAAATGTGGAGAAATAGGAACACTTTTACACTGTTGGTGGGTATGTAGGTTAATTCAACCATTATGGAAGACAGTGTGGTAATTCCTCAAGGATCTAGAACTCGAAATACCATTTGACCCAGCAATCCCATTACTGGATATATACCCAAAGGATTATAAATCATTCTATTATAAAGACACATGCACATGTATGTTTATTGCAGCACTATTCACAATAGCAAAGGCTTGGAACCAACCCAAATGCCCAACAGTGATGGACTGGTTAAAGGGATTGTGGCACATATACACCATGGAATACTATGCAGCCATAAAAAAGGATGAGTTTATGTCCTTTGCAGGGACATGGATGAATCTGGAAACCATCATTCTCAGCAAACTGACACAAGAACAAAAAACCAAACACAACATGTTCTCACTCATAAGTGGGTGTTGAACAATGAAAACAAATGGACACAGGGAGAGAAACATCACACACCGGGGCCTAGGGGGTGGGGGCCTAGGGGAAGAATAACAGGGGTGGGAGGATTGGGGTGGGATAGCGCCAGGAAAAGTATCTAATGTAGATGAAAGGGCAATGGATGCAGCAAACCACAACCGTGGTACATGTATACCTATGTAACAAACTTGCACAATCTGCACAAGTACCCCAGAACTTAAAGTATAATAAATTTTTTTAAAAAAAGAAACTATAAAACTGTACTAATGGGCATAACTTATGAAACATTAATAAGATGTCAAAAATAATTTCCATCAAGAATTTATCACATTGAAAAATGCTTGTGTAATATTTAATGAAAGAAGGAAATACAAACATGTACATAAGATATTAACATAATTACATAAACAAAGAAAGCTATACAGAGAAAGAAGACTGGAAGAAAATATATCTATCTGAGTGGTGAAATGGAAATGAATGTTTTCCCTGTATACTTTTCTTTATTTGTCAATTTTTTTAAACAAACATATGTATTTTTACCAATTTTTAAAAGTTACATATTATAAAAATAAAAATATAAAGATATTGTACTTACCATTTAAATCATTGCCTTCTGAATTTCTATCAAAAGCAGAAAAATTCAAATCAAACATACACCGCCCTAGGTAACAATGTTTTACCATCTGATTCAAATGTTCATAAAAATGGCAATGATATAAAAGAGCCTGAAGGGCAGGTTTTCCAATGAGGGATAGGCCAGAGTCCTCATCATGGACACAGGGCCCCTGTAGGAAAAGAGGGAAAGAAGAAGGAGACACTCACATATCAAACAATTTCTTTAAAAAAATCCATTGTCTCCTCTCAAGGAAATGAATGGGTCTCAGATGCTACCATCTCCTTCCACTCTTCTTCTGTCCTTACACATTTAAAGCAGCCTGACCTAGGACAAAAATGCTCCAGGCCTTTGCTGCCTAAACATCCCCTGAAGGCACAAAGCTGATCTCTCTCTTGAGGGACCATTTGATTTAAAATGTTTCTATGAAACGATCAGCTTTTACTAAGAAATCATACACTTGAGCCAAAAACACAATAAAAGCAGTATGTTTCAATTTACATATAATGGAAAATAACAGGTGTTAAAATATATGAAATAAGGTGGTCCAAGTAATTATGTTCATAATTATTTTTTATACCTATCACTAAGCCAAATAAAATGAAAAGGTCCATCAATATCCAAGGCAAAATTTGCCACATTACTTCCTGCTGAATTAATCCTGACAAGGAAAACACACACACACACACACACACACACACACACACACACGAACTGCCACAAGAGGGTGAAAAGAATCTGTCATTACATAATTTTTTCTCTTTGCATTTTTCCTTAATATTTTGCATTGTCACTTACTACTTTTCCGGGAATATCTAATAGCAAATATCAAGCAATAAGGATTGGTTTAAAGTTTGCAAACAATCCCATCATTAGTTTATAAATATTTCTATTTTCTGAGAAATGATAATAAAGTCAAGATTTTAAAACAGGCCATACGAAAGAGAAAAATAAAAGATAGCAAACATAAATCTAACAGCCAACAAAAAAGATATGGTCAAAACATATTCCAAGTTTCCCTTTAACCATAAGATTTGTGTGTGTGTCTCTTCTTTCACCCTCCCCATCATCAAGAAAAGACAGATATTTTAACTGACTCTTCAGAAAGATAAAGGAATTCACAAGTTAAAGGCATAATTAAACTAACAAGGTATTTCTATTAACACTTCTTTTTGATAACATTTATATACAACACTATAAAAACTCTTACTTCAATATTCAATGTCTTTTACGACTATGAAGTTATTGTTGTGTTTTAATAAATCTACCAACATTGTAAGCTTACTCTTCCTAAACAGGGCAATTTATATAAGAAATAAGACTACTGTAAGGAACAGCCAGCCCATGGTGGTCATTGTTGTTATTTTAAATGTAGAGGTCTAGAAGAATCAGGTAAAATAGAAATACAAGGAGAATGGGATTATGTGGTCGTTTATTAACCAAGGTATATTTGTTACAGGCAATGGGGCCCTTTAATGCATTACCTTATCTAATTATGTACAGTAAAGTATTCATCCAAAAACACAGAGCCAATTTTCACAGCTTCAAGAAATTCTATCTTTTAAGCAAGTTATACTTACATGCACAAAACATGCCAAACACCCAAGAGACTTACAATAAACTGCTTAACATCACAAATTAGATCCCTTATAATAATAATACACGGAAGTAATTAACAAATAAGAATTGTGTTAACATCAACACATATCTACAAATTTGTTTATCATAACTAAATTAGAAAAGTAATATAGTGAAGTGGGTAAGAGACTACCTAGACTCAAAGCAAAGGTGCACCACTGACTAGCTGTGTGATTTAGGCAAACTATTTAAACTCTCTGTTCAAAAGCTCCTAAACTTAGAAAACGAGGATAGTAACAGTTCACAACTCAAAAAATTATACAACTTACATTTCTAGAAGAGTGTACACTCTTACATTTCTAGAAGAGTGTCTAAAATATAGTAAACATCATGTCAACTATTATCATTTAAAATTATTTTGAACATTACAGAGGAGAATTTTTAAGTATGGTCAGCATAAGAAAAACTCTACATTCTGTTTTAAGAGAATATATAGTATATTGTATATAGTTTCATCAGAAATGAAATATACTACTTATGTTGAAAATTTATCACCAATTAATTTGAAATATCTACTAGGTTGATAATTGTTTAAAATCACCCACCTGCCAAGTATAATCCTTTATAATTTCTGTAGGCATTGGAATTACAAGGAGATTCTGAAAAATAAATGCAGCCTGAAAATGTAAAAAAAAAAAAAAAAAAAAAAAAAAAAAAAGTCAATACTGCCATCTTGTTGTCATCTCTGAAATAACCAATATATTGTAATGTAATAGCAAAAGACTTATCTCTGGTCAATTGCACATGCTGAGAGGTCATTATGAGAACTGTCAAACTGTATTTCTTGTTAGGTGATGACCTTGGTAGGTAATGACCTAACAGTATATGAAATTATTTCATCAGAAAATATATTTTTTCCTATTTCAGAATTCAGCTTTATTAAAAAATGATTTGTATAATATAAACTCTTCTGGGAGCATTTATGAAACATACTTTTAGGTTTTGACTGTCCCCTTTAAGATTAAACACACACTCCTCTCCCTGCTCTTTCTCCCTTCTTTTATACAGACTCTTTTCAATAAAAACTTGCCAACTAGAAAAACAAACCACAAATGTCCAACTTGACTGACTAGGTCCTGCAGATGATCAAATTAAATAATCATACAAATAGGAGCATTGTCTACTAATGAAAGATGATATAACCATAATGGGAGAATGACAGGATTAACAGGGCGATCTCAGAAACTGGCATTTCCAACCATGGTAACTAGAAGTGATAGAAAAGCTTTAAAGTTGATAAATCAAGAAGAAGCCGTAAATATAAACATTACTACTTAAAAACATGAAGTGGCTCACGCCTGTAATCCCAACACTTTGGGAGGCCAAGGCGGGTGGATCACGAGGTCAAGAGATCGAGGCCATCCTGGTCAACATGGTGAAACCCCGTCTCTACTAAAAATACAAAAAATTAGCTGGGCATGGTGGTGCGTGCCTGTAATCCCAGCTACTCAGGAGGCTGAGGCAGGAGAATTGCCTGAACCCAGGAGGCGGAGGTCGCGGTGAGCCGAGATCGCGCCATTGCACTCCAGCCTGGGTAACATGAGTGAAACTCCGTCTCAAAAAAAAAAAAAAAAACATGAAGTCAAATAGCAAGAAAACTAACCTTTTGAGCTTGGAACTGGGGACTGGCTAATGGTGGACCCAGGAACTGCTGTTTTTTTCATAAACCTCTAAGTACAATTTGATTATTGTTTTAAAACTATTTACATGAATCATTACTTTAATAAAAGCAGCAATTAAAAAAACAAACTATTTAGAAAGAATTAAAATACGGTTTATTTTTCCCTCTCATGTTATATGATAAATACTACAAAGAAAGTTATTTTGACAGCCTCTTATCTGTATTAAAGCTTCTTAAATATTAGAGACCCATAAATGCTGAGATAATATAAAAGTAATTTTTTCCTGTGAACTATTTTTCAATGCATAATAAAATAAAAGAGTTCACATTAAAACATAGTATATTCTGATTTGACCTTATCGGAAGTTTTTACTGTGAATTAATACCTTTTAAGTCCTCTACTATCATTTTGTTTGGGTTTTTTCACAGGTGGAAGAGATAATGGTCAATGGTCAGTCCACCATGTTGATCAGGAGTCACGTATCGCTTATAGACACTATCACAAAGAATTTCTAAGGAAAAAAGGAGAAAGAGTGCTAAAAAAACAGACATACCTCCCGGCGCACCATACTACATTCGGACTGGTCCAGAAGAATGTTCACCACAGTTCCCCAGAGCCCCCCAGAAATGTTCTGACAACTGTTTGCCAAGGCAACACAGCCAGTTTCAAGGGTGGTCAGTGCTGATCCTAATCCCAGTGAAGTAAATCTCACCTGTTCAAATTAAAGAGAAAGTTGTTGAATCAAATAAGCCTTTTTCCTGACATAAATTCTTAGTTTTTCGGGTATATAAAATATCATACTTTAAAAAATATATAGCATTGATTTTATGATCCTAAATTATAAGAAACATCTATAGAACACAGTGTCCTATAAGTTTATGAATGAATAAAAATCCCATTCCACGACTCAAGGAAGCAATAATATAGGAAAAATTAAATATAATCAAATTTCAAAGCAAATTAAAAGTGGGTATAAAAAGAAGCATAAAATTTATAGTTTGCAAGTATTTTTCTAGGGAAAGCATAGGGCACTTAACCTTTTATGAACACAATTTCAATTTATTCTTCATTCTTCAAAAAGGTAGCTATTCTTTGTTCTACGTTTCTTAATTTTTTGGTGTTTCTTCCAAATAAATGGTTTTAACTTTCTTAAAACTTCTAAACAAAGAGGCAATTATCATTTTACAAGGCATTTCGTATTTTCTTCAAAAAATTATTTTAAGAGAAAAATATTTCCAAATAAGATTGACATGGTATAACATGCTTGCTGTAGAACCACTGCTGTTCAAGCCATACATGTTGGTAAATTTCTGAATTCTAACCTAAAAATATAGTTTCAATGACCACTACAGGATTTAAAAAAAAAAATGCAGTCATAACACAGTCAAGTAGTAAGTCCAAGTTCAATGTGACTAAAAAATGTATTTCAAATATTTCTATAAATAAGGTTTTATTATAATAGCATCTAATCATGTCTTGCTTGAAATCAGTGAACAACTGGCTAAAACTGGAAAGTTCTTTAATAATACAAAATTTTGTACTGTAATGCAAATGCAATTTTGGCATTTAATTTCATTACATGACACTTACATGTCACTTAACTATAATTTCCAGATCCTTCTCAACAGTTTCAAAATGGCTAAGCCTCTCTAATAATTTTCCACTCTTCTGAAAGTAACAGATACTTTAACCTTTTCTCTTTTATATTTTCAATCTATACTCTAACAAATTTGATTGAAAAGGAGGGTGCTGTGCACTGAACTTTGTCTTCTCAAAACTCCTATGTTGAAGCCCTAATCCCCAAACTGTATTTGGTGATAGAAGGTGACTACAGTTAAATGAAGTTATAAGGGTGGGACCCTGCTGCATTAGGAATGGTGGGCTCAAGAAAGAGGGAAATCTTTCTCCACATGCATGCACCAAGGAGAGGTCATGTGAGCACACAGTGAGAAGGTAGCCATCTGTAAACCAGAAACCAACCATGCTGACATTCTGATCTTGACTTGCAGCCTCCAGAACTGCAAGAAATAAATTTCTGTTTGTAAGCCACTCAGGCGATAATATTTTGTGATGCAAGCCTGGGCACACTAACACAGATTTTTGTACCACGGAGTGGGGGTGCTGCGGAAACAAATGCCTCAACACATGAAAGTGACTTTGGCACTAGGCAATGGGCTAGAGGCTGGAAGAGTTTTGAGGAGCATGCCAGAAACGTAGACATGGGTAACTCTCACGAGATCTCAGACAAAAATGAGGAAAGCGTTATTTAAAAAAAGGTTACTCGAGGAAAGGCAATCCTTGTTACAAACTGGCAAGAGAAGTGGTTGAGCTGTGGTCATGTTCTAGTGTTTTGTGGAAGGCAGAATTTGTGAGCAATGAAATTGGATATTTAGCTGAGAAGATTTCTAAGCAAAGTGTTGAAAAGTGGCTTGGTTCCTCCTGATTGCTTATAGCAAAATGCAAAAGGAGAGAGATGAATTAAAGAAGGAATTAAGAATGGGTAAGCAAAAAGAAACAAGAACAAGATTTGAAAAATTCTCAGCCTATCCGTGCAAAAAATAAGAAGCTTGTTTTAAAGAGAACATGGAGGGTGTGGCTGAATAATCATTTAAGAAAGAGATCATGGTTGCAATTCACGGACTTAATCAGACATCTCAGCAGAAGCCAGGAATAGAGATGGGATTATATCAGCAAAGACACTGCTAGTTTGAACTAAAGAGGACAGAGAAAGATGCATAGAATGAAGGAAAGCTGTTGGACTTCCTGGAATCTATAAGCAAATATGTGCTACAGTGGTCCCTGGCTTATCCATGGGAAATACATTCCAAGAGCTCCAGTGGATGCCTGAAACCACAGATAGTGCTGAGCCCTGTAACTACTGTTTTTTTTTTTTCCTACACATACATATCTATGATAAAGTTTACAAATTAGCACAGTAAGAGATTAGCAACAATAACTAAAAATAAGTTATGACAGTAGTATCAACATGCTGTAATATAAAATATACGATCGTGGTCTCTCTCTCAAAATATTTTATTGTATTGCACTCAGCCTTCTTGTAATGATGTGAGATGATACAACGCTTCCATAAAGAGAAGAGGTGAGGTGAATGATGTAGGCATTGTGAGGGAGTGTTAGGCTACTACTGATCTTCAGGCTGCTTTTGGAAAATGAAACCTCTGATAAGGGAGGACTACTGTATTCTTCAATGAGAGGTTAAGAGTGACCCAAAAAATGATTTAGAGATCACCAGGCTGCCCTCCCACCACAGGACTGGGGGATGGCTTTTCCTCCTGGTTTTAAGTACCTCTCTGATTTCAGTGGGCCAGGATGATGACCCTGTCCAGTGCTTCAGGGACAAGGCTGCCCTTGAAGATACCTTTATGGGCAGGGCTCTTGAAGAGGCTCAAAGGGATGAGGTCACCCCATAGAGCCATCTAGATGCTGTCACCCTGGTGGGCCTGTAAGGCACAGCACTGAGCCAAAGAACATTATCCTTGAGCATTAAGACCTAATGGAATTTGCTTTGCGAGGCTTTGGACTTGCCTGGGATCCAACACTTCTTCCTTTTTTCCTGTTTCTCCCTTTTGGAATGGGAATGTCTATCCTACCATCATCTTTTGGAAGCACATAACTTGTATGGTTTCACAGGTTCACACCTGGAGAAGAATTCTGTCTCAGGAGGGTTTATGTCTAGAGACTTATCCATATGTGGCTTAGATGCTATTTAGATGAGATTTTGGAATTTAGACTTTACAGTTGATTTTGGAATAAGTTAAGATTTTTGAGGTTGTTAAGGGAGAATAAAAGCATTTTGCATGGAAAAAGAACATGAAGTTAAGGGGTCCAGGGGTGGAAAACTATGAACTGAATGGCATCCCTCCAAAACTCATATGTTGAAGCCTTTATGCTTGAGTGATTACATTTGAAAATAGGGCTCTTCTAGGAGATAATTAAGGTTAAATGAGGTCATAAGGGAACAGTACTATCTCGGTAAGACTGGCAACCTTATAATAAAAAAAAAAAGGGACAAATCTGTTTCTATACCACCCTCCCTCCCTTGCCCCACATGCATGGACCAAGGAAAGGCCACGTGAATATACAGCAAGAAGGCAGCCATCTACAAGCCAAAAGAAGAGCCCTCACCAGAACTTGACTATGTTGGCACCCTGATCTTGGGCTTTCAGCTTCCAAAACTTCTATGAGAAAAGAAGTTTTTGTTGTCTAAGCCACCCAGTCTATGGTGTTTTGTTATGGCAGCCTAAGCTAAATCAGGGCTTAAATAAAATATAAGGTAGAGTCACTAAAATGTTATATATATACATATATTTATGGTTTGTATCATTTGTTTTTAATCTAAACACAATAAACTTGATTCTCCTTCACACTGACCTCTGGGTCCCGATCAACCCATAATGGAATCAACCAAGCCAATCCCTGTTGAGTAGGAATATGTTCTTCACTATGACTACCCAAAGGTAAGAACCAAAGTGACATCCACTCCTACTGGGAAAAAGGGGAAACAAATACTTTACATAAGTTTCTAAAAATAAAATGCAGGAAGGTTAAAACAATTCTGAATTTTTAATGAAAGAACATAAAAATGTATTTTAGACCCGGTTTTAATCCCATGATTTAGCCAAAACAAGGCAAACAAACAAAAATCTATTTCTCTTTAAAAAATTAAACATAACAATATTTTTGACAGAAGCTATTTTTCCCATGATTTAGACAAAAGGTAGTTTTTCAGTGATGTAGATTTTAATCAATTTCAAATAAAATTCAGATTTGTTAATATACAACTTCTAAGAAACATCCTAGTCAAAAATCATTCTTGTTTCCTAAAAAGAAAAGTCAAAAGAGACATTTTAATGTAGCAAGTTCATGTGCTTGAAATGTGTTGGACACAGCACATTCCTTTTCAACTAACTGTTCAGAAGACAGACCGCTTTAATGCACTCACCAAGCTCCCAGCCTGGGCCATCATCTCATGGGATAAGTGAAGCAAGCAAAGAATTGTGCTCTTTGTAACACCTTTTCCCATGAAGGACATAGCATTTCCTCCACGCTCCACATAAAAGGAAGTAATGACCTGAAAAACAAATGTAAACAATTTCATGGTGGCTTTATTCTTACTGGTATATAAAGATAAATAAATATATAACTGTCTACTGACTTGGGTGAATTGAATCCTAACCTTATAAAGTTATAATTTTCTTAGTTCATTAGTATTTTTAAGTATTCATTATACTTCAAAATGATTAAGATGATAAATTTTATGTTACAGGTATTTTACCACTATTAAAAGGAAATATTCTTCAGCTTGCATAACATAGCAAGATCCAGTCTCTACTTAAAAAAAAAAAAATTAGCCAGGCATGCCAGTGCACATCTGTAGTCCCAGCTACTGGGAGAACTGAGGAGGGAGGATCACTTGAGCCTGGGAACTGCAGCTTGCGGTAACCTATGACTTTACCACCACACTTGGCCTGGGTTACAGAGTGAGATCTTGTAATTTTTCAAAATTAAAACAAAAATTCTTATTTTCAGTATTTTTCCATTTAAAGTTTGTAAAAAAGATGTGTGGTGCCCTCCTAATACACAGTTGTAACTTAGAATATGTTTACATGTTTTAAACGTTATGGCATCCTTTAAGAGTCTATAAATAATTAGTTGAAAAATATACATAGAAATTGCTAGCACTATAAAACTCATTACCAGAGTTATGTCAGATTTTCTTGAATTATGGTTTAAATGTAAATAGGCATTTCCTTACTCATGAGTGATCTTAGATTTTTATTGCATATTTTAGTATATGCTTATTTACATCACTGGTTCTCAACTTTTTTCTCTCCCATGCTAACTATATGTAGCCAACACATTTTAAAGGAAAGATTTGTTGTTAAGTCGAAACAATCAAAAGTACTTATCATCTGCATTAACAGAAAAGAGTATTTCAATTCACCCACCCAAGGTCTCAATGCTTTTATTCAGCATGGAATCCTTCAATGTAAGCCATTTTGTCTCAATCTATCTTTTGGGTTTTTTTATTTTTCCAACTCATGCAGCAAAGTACGTTATATGTATATTTTAAAGACAGCATAAATCATGTTAATAAAAGCATCTAATTGGTAGATACTTTGAGAAATTTGACCTGAATTAGAATTTGCATAAAACAAACAAATTAAAATGACATCCGAGGCACAGTTGCTCACACCTGTAATCCTAGCCCTTTGGGAGGCCAAGGTGGGTGAATCACTTGATGTTAGGAGTCCGATACAAACCTGCCAAACATGGTAAAACTCCTACCCTACTAAAAATATAAAACTTAGCTGGGCATGGTGGCACATGCCTATAATCCCAGCTACTCAGGAGGCTGAGGCAAGATAATCACTTGAACCCCAGGAGGCTGAGGTTGCAGTGAGCCAAGATTGAGCCACTGTATTACACCCTCGGTGGAAGAGTGAGACTCAGAATAAAATAAAATAATGTCTGAAAAATAAAACGAGATTGGCCAGGGGTTAACAACTGTGGACGATACCTACATGGGCTATATTCTACTATTCTTTCTACATTATGTCTGAAATTTCTCATAATTTCAATTTTAAATTTTTTATTATGCTTTACGTTCTGGAATACATGTGCAGAATGGGCAGGTTTGTTACATAGGTATATACATGCCATAGTGGTTTGCTGCCCCCAACAAACCGTCATCGACATTAGGTATTTCTCCTAATGCTATCTCTCCCCTAGGCCCCCACGCCCTGACAGGCCCCGGTGTGTGATGTTCCCCTCCCAGTGTCCATATATTCTCATTGTTCAACTCCCACTTATGAGTAAGAACATGTGGTATTTGGTTTTCTGTTCCTATGTTAGTTTGCTAAGAATGATGGTTTCCAGATTCTTCCATGTCCCTGTAAAGGACATGAACCCATCCTTGTTTATGACTGCATAGTATTCCATGGTGTACATGTGCCACATTTTCTTTATTGAGTCTATCATTGATGGGTATTTGGGTTGGTTCCAAGTCTTTGCTATTGTGAACAGTGCCATAATAAATATACATGTGTATGTGTCTTTATAACAGAATGATTTGTAATCCTATGGCTATATGCTCAGTAATGGGATTGCTGGGTCAAATGGTATTTCTATTTCTAGATCCTTGAGGAATTGCCACACTGTCTTCCACAATGGTTGAACTAATTTACACTCCCACCAACAGTGTAAGAGTGTTCCTATTTCTCCACATCCTCTCCAGCATCTGTTGTTTCCTGACTTTTTAATAATTGCCATTCTGACTGGCATGAGATGGTATCTCATTGCGGTTTTCATTTGCATTTCTCTAATGATCAGTGATGACAAGCGTTTTTCATATGTTTGTTGGCTGCATAAATGTCTTCTTTTGAGAAGTGTCTGTTCATATACTTCACCCATTTTTTTGGGGGGGGTTTTCTTATACATTTGTTTCAGTTCTTTATAGATAGTGAATATTACCTGTTTTAATTGTGAAGTTAGGGTGTCAATTTTAGATCTTTCCCACTTTCTCCTGTGGGCATTTAGTGCTATAGATTTACCACTAAACACTGCTTTTGCCATGTTCCAGAGATTCTGGTACATTGTGTCTTTGTTCTCACTGGTTTCAAAGAACTTGTTGATTTCTGCCTTAATTTCATTATTTACCCAGTAGTCATGCAGGAGCAGGTTGTTCAGTTTCCATGTAGTTGTGCAGTTTTGAGTGAGTTTCTTATTCCTGATTTTAGTTTGATTGCACTGTGGTCTGTGAGACTGTTTGTTATGATTTCTGCTCTTTTGCATTTGCTGAGGAATGTTTTACTTCCAATTATGTGGTCAATTTTAGAATAAGTGCAATGTGGTGCTGAAAAGAATGTATATTCTGTTGATTTGGGGTGGAGAGTTCTATAGACGTCTACCTGAATTAGGTTTGCTTGGTCCAGAGCTCAGTTAAAGTCCTGAATATCCTTGTTAATTTTCTGTCTCATTGATCTAATATTGACAATGGGGTGTTAAAGTCTCCCACTATTATTGTGTGGGAGTCTAAGTATCTTTGTAGGTCTCTAAGAACTGGGCTTATGAATCTGAGTGCTCCTGTATTGGGTGCATATATATTTAGAATAGTTTGCTCTTCTTCTTGCATTAATCCCTTTACCACTATGTAATGCCCTTCTTTGTCTCTTTTGATCTTTGTTGGTTTAAAGCCTGTTTTATCAGAGACTAGGATTACAACCCCTGTTTTTTTGTTTTTTCTTTTTTCTTTCCGTCTGCTTGGTAAAACTTCCTACATCCCTTTATTTTGAGCCTATATGTGTCTTTGCACATCAGATGGGTCTCCTGAATACAGCACACCAATGGGTCTTGACTTTCCAATTTGCCATCTGTGTCTTTTAATTGGGGAATTTAGCCCATTTATATTTAAGGTTAATATTGTTCTGTGTAATTCTGATCCTGTCATTATGACGCTAGTGGCTTATTTTGCCCATTAGTTGGTACAGTTTCTTTGTAGTGTTGATGGTCTTTACAATTTGGTATGTTTTTGCAGTGGCTGGTACTAGCTGTTCCTTTCCATATTTAGTGCTTCGTTTAAAAGCTCTTGTAAGGCAAGCCTGGTGGTGACAAAATCTCTCAGCATTTGCTTGTCTGCAGAGGATTTAAATTCTCCTTTGCTTATAAAGCTTAGTTTGGCTGGATATGAAATTGTGAGTTGAAAATTCTTTTCTTTAAGAATGTTGAATATTGGCCCCCAATCTCTTCTGGCTTGTAAAGTCTCTGCAGAGAGATGTGCTGTTAGTCTGATGGGCTTCCCTTTGTGCATAACCAGACCTTTCTCTGTGGCTGCTCTTAACATTTTTTCCTTCATTTCAACCTTGGTGAATCTGATGATTATGTATCTTGGGGTTGCTCTTCTGGAGGAGTATATTTGTGGTGTTCTCTGTATTTCCTGAATTTGAATGTTAGCCTGTCTTGCTCAGTTAGGGAAGTTCTCCTAGATAATATCCTGAAGTGTGTTTTCCAACTTGCTTTCATTTTCCCATCACTTTAAGGTACACCAATCAAACATAGGTTTGGTCTTTTCATATAATCCCATATTTCTTGGAGGCTTTGTTTGTTCCTTCTCATTCTTTTTTCTCTAATCTTGTCTTTCATGCTTTATTTCAATAAGTTGATCTTCAATCTCTGATATCCTTTTTTCCAATTCATTGATTCAGCTATTGTTACTTGTGTATGCTTGACAAAGTTCTCATGCTGTGTTTTTCAGCTCCATCAGGTCATTTATATTCTTCTCTAAACCAGTTATTCTAGTTAGCAATTCATCTAGCCTTCCTTCAAGGTTCTTAGCTGCCTTCCATTGGGTTAGAACATGCAGCTTTAGCTTGGAGAAGTTTATTATTACCCACCTTCTGAAGCCTACTTCTGTCAATTCGTCAAACTCATTCTCTGTCCAGTTTTGCCCCCTTGCTGGTGAGGAGTTGCGATCCTGGTGAGGAGTGGTGATCCTTTGAAGAAGAGGCATTCTGGTTTGGGGAATTTTCTCCTTTTTGCGCTGGTTTTTCCTCATCTTCATGGATTGAACTACCTTTGGTCTTTGATGTTGGTGACCTTCAGATGGGGTTTTTGTGTCGGTGTCCTTTTTGTTGATGTTCATGCTACTCCTTTCTGTTTGTTAATTTTCCTTTTAATAGTCTGGCCCCTCTGCTGCAGGTCTGCTGGAATTGGCTGGAGGTCCACTCCAGACCCTGTTTACCTGGATATCACCAGCAGAGGCTGCAGAACAGCAAAGATTGCTGCCTGTTCCTTGCTCTGGAAGCTTCATCCCAGAGGGGCACCCCCACCAGATGCCAGCCAGAGCTCTCCTGTATAAGGTATCTGTCAACCCCTGCTGGGAGGTGTCTCCAAGTCAGGAGGCATGGAAATCAGGAATCCACTTGAGTAGACAGTCTATCCCTTAGCAGAGCTCAAGCGCTCTGCTGGGAGATCCACAGTTCTCCTCAGAGCCAACAGGCAAGAATGTTTAAGTCTGCTGAAGCTGCACCCACAGCCACCCCTTCCCCCAGGTCAAAAACTTAAAATTTTAAG